TTATTGTTTAAAAACACAAATGACTGTATAAATGATTAAATATGAATAAAGCATAAATATTAATAATAATTTATATTATAATTAACAGTACTAATAATTTAATTAAGTATTGTAATTGTTATGCAATGATGTTGTTGGCGCCATCTATTATTAGGCTGGATAATAACAATGTTAGTTAATATTACTTAAAAGTAATTCATGTAAAATAAATTAAATGTGAGTCATGTAAAATCACTAAAATATGTATTTTGAATATTAAGCTATGTTTTGTGAATTGTTTCGCAGTAATTACATTTGTTTGTATAAAAGAAGTTGTAGTTGCTATAACCAACACAAAATGGCTAATTGTGTAAAAACCACTGAATAACTCAGGCATGGCTTTTTGTTGTAAACAAGTAATGTTAAAGTTTTATAGAATTGTATTGTATTTTCATTGTAAAAGAACTTATGTGTGTAAATCCGACTACATATCAGAATCAGTGGTTTAAATTATGATACGACTGTCTTTTTTTAATCTTTTTTAAACTCGCAGTTTCAAATTCATTCTAATTTTACTATCACTTTTATTTATTTTAGGAATAAATAATTGAAAAAATCTGCTTCATATAAACTATTATTGCAACAAGACAGAGTTAATTACTATGTAATTTGATAATTAATTTTTAGTTTACCTCGTAACATTCACAATAATTCTTGAGGCATCCACTTCGTTTACAGTTGCAGCCCTTGTTGTGCCGCCTTATGATGTCCGGCCCGCCGATTTTTGCTTTCCCGATTTTCGGCCTGTGAAACTTGCTTTAAATATTTCATTTAATAAAAAACAAACAGTAAATTAAGCTGTACTAATTTTGGTGACTACTTTTTTTTATTGCTGACTAGCTGACCCGGCAGACTTCGTAGTGCCTCAATCGATAAATAAAAGACCTATACTTTTGTATAAAACAAAGTTAGAACAAACAAAAGGAATCCGTCCGATCGGGGGACATCAAAGGAAAAACAAAATTGTTATTTTTATTTAATTTCGAGCATTTTCATATTTATTTTAAGTCTTTTTTTAAACCTTTTCTGGACTTCCACAAATCATTCGAGACTAACGAACAGCAATTTATTTTTATATGTATAGATGTGTATAGACGAGCTCACGGCTCACCTGACGTTAAGTGGTCACCGAAGCCCATAGACATACGCAACGTAAATGCGTGAGTTCTAAGGTCTCCGTTTTTGCAGCACAACGGCTGCCCCACCCTTCAAACCGAAACTTATTACTGCTTCACGGCAGAAATAGGCAAGGTGATGGTACCTACCCGTGGGGACTCACAAGACGGCTTACCACCAGAACACTTTAAATTATTAGTAACAATAAAATTTTACTGCTGGTAAAAAAATATTAATGATATTTACAAAAAAAAACTTACCTAAACGCATTAGGATTCCTCTCTAAGCACGCCCTGATGGCTTTCTGCCTTAACGCTTCATTTTCTAAATTATTATGACAATTATTGCAGTTGCATTGATTGCAAAACTCCCCGTTCGCGAAACAGTCGCAGTACAACTTGAGGCACTGAGACTTTGTACAATTACACGCCTTCCTTGGCCGAAGACCTAGTTCCGTGGCCCCCACGTCTACAATGAACGTTAAGAGAATTAATTATTTTCCAATTTGTTACTGGATCGCATGCATACATAGACAGACATGTCGTTAAGCAATTTTTTGTTTGCTCAATCTCTAATATATGTATTGTTGGATGTTTTTGATGAGCTTTTTTGGATATTTTTATTTGCGGGTAGATTGCCGCTGCCTATAAAAGTTCGAAAAGGTTCGTGGCGCTCCGTTCTATTTTATTGTTAGATTAATTCCTTTAGTTTAAGCTAAATTGTCATTGTATTGTACTTAGAAAGTAGGATCTGATATGTCTGTCTACCTAAAAAAAAAAACAAGTAAAAACTATAATACATAAACTCGTATAGATTGACCGTGATGACTTACCGTTATCGGGTGAAGGTGACGTTTTCGGTGGTGAGTATACTATTTCGGGTTCTAACTCAACCAGTGTTTTGGACTCGTGCTGAAATTTCAAAATTATTGTAACGGTTCTACCTGTGACATCAAATTATACGCTCTATTAGGAATTGTTTGCCGCATACCACCTATACATAACAACCCTTTGCATATATTTTTGCCATTTCGGCGATAAACATTTAGAGCGCCTTTGAACAAACTCTTCCGGATCGTCAAACGAACTACGAATATTCTAAATATAATTTCCAATATTACTATTCCAAATAGAGATTTTTATAAATCGTGAAAAAAAAAAACATTTTTATTTTTTCCAAGCCCAGTAATATCTTTTTAATAAAGGCTTTTTAACTATCCTCATTTAAATGCCAAAAGGGCAAACGGGAACCACCCGAGACTCGGGTGTGGCATCAGCCTTGATGTTGTTTATACCAGACTGTGACCACACATCACCTGTGGTCATATACTCGTTAGCATTCCATGGTAATAAAAAAGAACAAAATTTAATACGCTATTATCTATATATTAATACGTGAAGCAAAAACTTTGTACCCCTTTTTAGGAAAATTTCGCGGATAGAGGAGTATGGAGTTTCCCACACTTATAGAGAATATAGAGGAGTGCAGAATGTTATTTTTTTTAAATTGTGCATAAAAAAATACATTAAAGCAATAAAAACATTACACACGCTACCATGTATTTGACACATACCAGCATTCACACTATTTGTTTATTGTCAAACTTTTGTTATTGCTTATATAGTCTGTGGTCAAATTGAGAATAGATTAATATTGTTTGTCTAAAGTCTAAAGTGTAGTCTTAGCGAAATTTGTAATTATTGAAGTATTTGACAATAGAATGATAATAGTGTACAAGCTTATAATTTCAATATTAATTATAGTCGAATTTCGACTACCGAAGACCTCTAGTAGAATGAATAGTGTTAAGACAAAGAGTAATTTTTACGACCAATACTATTATACTATTCGATAGGTTTGTTTCAGCGCACTAACCATGTTGATAGACGTCTTGATGTCTTGCTCGTATACAATTTCCCTGTCGTCATACTCCTCATGTTGGAAATTCGGTATCACAATTAGCGGGTGTTCGACGTTATTTCCTGTGCTGTTGTCCATACTATCCGCATTCTCACCCATTATTTGACCCTATACATAAAATTTAAAAATATATAAACAGATGTACATCAAAAATTTATTCATATTTGTAGCATAGTTTTATATATTATATACGTATATTTAAAACGAAATTATTATATACGACATTATTTCAAATATGTTTGATGTACTTAGATTTAAAATAACATCGTATTCGTTAAGCTCGAAACTAAATTTGATGTCGTCGTGGCTTAAAGGATAAGACGTCCGGTGCATTCGTATGTAGCGATGCACCGGTGTTCGACTCCCACAGGCGGGTACCAATTTTTCTAATGAAATACGTACTTAACAAATGTTTGCGATTGACTTCCACGGTGAAGGAATAACATCGTGTAATAAAAATCAAATCCCCAAAACTATATTTTGCGTAATTATTGGTGGTAGGACGTCTTGTGATACCGCACGGACAGGTACCACCACCCTGCCTATTTTTGGCGTAAAGCGTTTTTTTTTATTATTGCTTAGATAGGTGGACGAGCTCACAGCCCACCTGGTGTTAAGTGGTTACTGGAGCCCATAGACATCCACAACGTAAATGCGCCACCCACCTTGCGATATAAGTTCTAAAGTCTCAGTATAGTTACAACGGCTGCCCCACCCTTCAAACCGAAACGCATTACTGCTTCACGGCAGAAATAGGCAGGGCGGTGGTACCCACGCGTTTCGGTTTGAAGGTCGTTGTACTGTTACAAGGGAGGCCTTAGAACTCATGTATTAAGGTGGGTGACGGAATTTACGTTGTAGATATCTATGGGCTGCGGCAATCACTCAACACCAGGTAGGCCGTGTGCTCGTCCACCCACCTAAGCAATAAAAATAAAATAAAAAAAACAGTTCAAACTGAACATTGACTGTCGTATTGCTGTCACATACGCTAACATTTCCACCACGCACACTTTCGCTTGCGTTGAATTTCAAACGTTGCGTTTTGGGTCAACGGCGCTAACCACAGCACTAGAGAAGTCGCACTTCGAAGTGTAGACACGTAATAACTAGTGCGTGAAGGGGGATACCTCCAGGGTGTCTGGCTGCACGTGGTCGCGCAGGGCGGGCTTGACGTCGTCTGGGTCGTGGTCGCGCGGCTCGGGCTCCCGCTTGACGAGCGCGGGGGACAGCGGCGCCAGCAGGCTCTGCGGCGGCCGCGCCGGCGGCGGTTGCTGCGCACAAATATTTCGGCACGTCACATCCACACTATACTAGTCTGAAACACATCACTCATTAGTTTTTTTTTAAAGGGATTTTATGACCTGGTAACTAAGACCTTTAAGTCAAGTCTTACTTTAATTTTTATTCTTTTTTTTATGAAAAATGATAATATGAAGTGAAATGAAATGAGATGATATGGTATGGTATAGTATGAAATATAATCTCAGTAAAATGGTGGTCATTTACTGAGACTTTTTCAGTAGACTTTTTGGAAGATCCCGAGAAGTTACGTTCAACGGCTTTGTTTGATTTGCCCATATTTGTGCACTTTCAGATACTAAACAGTTAATAAACTACCATTATTACACATTTAAACCCGAAGAAACACTAAACAGACAAAATAAAACAAATCGCACAACTTTCCGCCAAAAAGTTCTCACTCATTAGTAGAAAGAAATACAAGCACTTCCTTTCCGTCCGTATCGACATTTATAAGTGTTAATTAATATCTCCCATCTTCTTATTCTTTCTTTCCTATTACCCTCTGCTGAGATGTAGGGCTCAAATTAGGGCGATCTTGGGTAGTCTGTTCTAGCTCCTCCCACATCATGCCCAAGACGCCTAGCTCCTGCGTCACCGAGCGACGCCAAGTTGCTCGTATATATCGCCCATAATTTTAACAATTTCATTGGCAGTTTCAACTCATCCACAACGAACATTACATATTATCTAAAAAGAACTGATGCGGCGTGGGCCTACATTAGTGTCAAGGATTCAAAGAAGAGCTTGACATCAGATGAGCTGTGAGTTCGTCTGCACAAGTCAGTAACTAAACGAATTCTAAGACGTAGTGATTTCAAATCTGTAAAAGTATCCTAAGTTATAAAAATAAATCGTATTAAGAAGTTTAAAAATTAAAACATGCTTAAAGATTAAACTGGTCAAAATGACAGAACGAAGTTATAAAAAAGTATTAAATCCTCATCGGTTTTTGGTGCATGTAGAAATTATCAAATTAATTGGACTTCTTAACGTCTGTGAAAATGATGTTCAATTCCATACACATACCAAACAACTGAAATCAAGTTGAAATGTATAAATGATGACACGTTTAGAAGTCGAACTTGAGTTACATTAATTATTAGAAGAAATATTTATAATCGATATATTCTCCTGTTTAAATTATCATTAGTTTTATGTAAACTGTGAATAATCGACACGTTGAGCGAAGGTGTAAATGAAGTATATCGACAACATACAAAATTTTTTTTTACGTAATTTTGTTTACAGTTCCTAAAAGAGGACAAACTCACCGTCGCGGCGGCTCCACTCTTGCTGGTGAGCGGAGCTATCCTCACCAGCTTGCGATCGGGTTTCACGGTCACTGGGCCACGGAAACGAAATAAAAACATTTTAAAATCTTAGTCAGAAATTACATTCAACTTAATATTATGTTTACGAAATGACTGGAATGACACAAAGATGACTTAATTTCGAATTTTCAAAACGAATTAAAACATGTTCTGGATTTTAGAATTTAAATGTGTTGGAGTTTGAATATGTAAGCAATGGCAGGCAACACTTGACACATGTAAGGTTACAGATTTCGAATATTGGAATGCTTACTTAAATGTTTAAAACACAATGACTTCTCATCTAGACACGGTCAGAGCAACATCTTAGAGTTTTATAAAAACTAGTGGTCCCGCAGTAGTCGAAATTCGACTATATTTAATTTAAATTATAAGTTTGAACATTATTAAGGTTCTATTGTCAAAGGCTATTCTACTTCTATAATCACAGATTTTAATAATATTAAATATATACAATATTAACCTATTCTCTATTCGACCACAGACTGAGCAATAACAAAAGGTTGACAATAAACATGGAGCTTATATATGTTAGTGTATGTATCAAACACATGGTAGGGTGTGTAATGTTTTTGTTATTGATTTAATGTATTATTAATGCATCATTTTTAAAAAATATTAGCATTCTGCACTCTTTCTCTATATTCTCTATAAGTGTGGGAAATTTCATACTCCTACGTCTGGGCAATTTTTGTAAAAAGGGGTACAAAGTTTTTGCTTCACGTATTAATATATAGATAAAATATTGTAATAATGTAATAGTGTACAAAGTGTTTGCAATATCATTATATTAACCATGAAACAGAGTATTTTTTAAATAGCCCCTCACCTACAGAACCCAGTCCTCTCAAATTTAACCGTCCAACAAAATGTTTTAAATAACGAAACCATATTTTTTTTAAAACTCTGACATTTTTGATTACCAAAGAGCATAATTAAATACGTGACTTTTATAAACATACTTTTTTTAGTAAATAAAATTCACCTTTAGACGAATTTTGTAAATTCCCTGTGATGATCAAAGGTGGTGGTTGAGTACTAAGCATTTTTTCTGAGCTCATCTGAAGGACTGTACCTGTAATAATAAATTAGGTTTGAAAACAAAAACATTTAAAAAATAAAAAGTCAATTTGCTCAGAACAGACTGTGACGCACAATGCCGAATTATGCTGAAGCTTAGTTGAGCATTATGCCGCATAATGCGCTCTTGTGCTGTAATTGGAAAACGGCCGTACTGTGCATTTTTTCAAATCAATCGCCAATTTTGAATTTGGTGCTTATTATGATGAGATTGAGAAGATGAGATTCTGTTACATGGATAGATAATGGTCAAGCCAATAATTAAACTTATATAGCTCTCAATATGAGACTAGCGGCGCCGACTTGGGTTCGGTTATACTTTTGTTCAATATCTTTTATACGGATTCGTGTGATTTTTTATACTTTTACTTGTGATTTGACCTCTGATTTGAGATCATTTATATAAATTAATATTAAAATGAAATCAAATATGAAAATAGTCAAATAATATACTAGAACCCGTTTCAAATTTTCAATGTTCTTGAAACGATAGATACAGCGCATGATGTATGTATCCAATATAATAAATATGTATATTCCACCGAGTTGGTATTTGCAATTTTTTGGGCAGCACTTGCCACTCACTCACTTTCAATTTTGTAGAATACCTCGTTGCACTATTTTACTGATACAGTCACAGATTATTAATGGTCTGAACGAAATTAGTTTAAATTTTATCTCCCGATGCAAAAATATCGTCGTTTACATAGCCATACTAGTCTAAATAAATTATAATTTTTCATTTTATATTCTGGGTATTCTTCATTCGTTTATTCGCAGCGTCTCTGAAGGGGTTCGACCAAACCACATGTCTACAAAGCAAGAAAGTAAGAACCATAGAGTTGCTCCAGTAGCAAGCGAAGCCCGTGCCGTGACGTCACGCTGAAAAAACTCGCGTTCTTCAGCCCACTAATGGCACCGATATGTACCACTTTCTTTAAAATAATGACAGTGCCAGACATATAAGAGGGCTGTAAATTATTATTAATTTTCAAATGCAATTAATAGCACCATGGCTACTAGACCGCCGTCACTTGTATTGTGGAACTTATGTAACACCCTAATTTATATCGCACCTATGATTGATTGATTTTTTTGAATTGAAGTGGTTTGATCCGAAATTCTTAATTTTTGGTAAACTTCAAAAATGTAACTAAAGAATTGCGATTTTTTTTTGTTTTTCGGTTTTAATAATTTAATGTATTCCCGTGATTTAAAAGATACGCGGGAAGAGTACGTTTGTCCTTTTCTAGACTAAAAGAGACTTTTTAATTTTATAAACTAATAGAATACATGTTTATAAGTCGTTTGAAGTATAGACCAATTTTCTTAATATTTTTAGTTAAGACACTTGCTACATTCTAAAGGTGCGATATAGTATTGCTTGCTACCTTTAGCGTCGGTCAAGACGAATGACTTGGCTGGAAGCGTCACCGAGGAGGAAGACTTGGAGGCGGCCGGGGTCGAGTTCGTGACCAGTCGAATATATTGTATCTGAAACAGTCATCACCGATATTTTTGTCATTTTATTTTTATTTATTATTTTATTCACGAACTAGCCGACCTGGCAGACTTCGTAGTGCCTCAATCGATAAATAAAAGACCTAAACTTTTGTATAAAACAAACTTAAAACAAACAAAAGCAATCCATCCGACGGGGGACACATCAAAGGAAAAACAAAATTTTTATTAAATTCTGAGCATTTTCATATTTATCTACCTTTTAAACCTTCTCTGGACTTTCACAAATAATTCAAGACCAATTTTATATATATAGATACCAAAAAAACAATTTTTTTTATATTTTCAAAAGAATAACACTTACGCCTTTACCCGGTACGTTGATTTGATGCAGTTGCGTCCGCTGCCCTCCTTGCAGAATGACATTACCATCTTTTGTAATCTATCAACATAAATTTTACTTAACAATATACTCTATTCCTTTTGTATAATATAACACAAAGAATAGTGTAATAGAGTGTATCGTTTTAATAATGAAATAATACAATAACGTAAATTGTTAACTCACTTGTCCAGTCTTTGATGGCGCTGTGGTCTTTAGGATCACATTCTGGTTAGGATTTGCCGATATGAAAACTTTTTTCGTTGAACCTACAATACAATACAAACATGTTTTTATTTTTATTGCATAGATGGGTGGACGAGCTCAGTGCCCACCTGGTGTCAAGTGGTGACCGGAGCCCATAGACAGCTACAACGTAAATGCCGTTACCCATCTTGAGATATGAGTTCTAAGATCTCAGTATAGCTACAACGGCTGCTCCAGCCTTCAAACCGCAACGCATTATTGCTTCACGGCAGAAATAGGCAGAGTGGTGGTACCCGCGCGGACTCACAAGAGGTCCTACCACCAGTAAAAGTTTCAAAGATACATTAAAAAAATGGGTATCTGGCCACGATTGGTTGGAGCTGGTTTAAATGGGACATGAAGAAGACAACAAAGTTGATCTACGAAGTCTTATTATAAATATATTTCCATAATTATTTATGTAATTTGGGAATGATTTCATAAAGTTCCATCATTAAGTTAATATCTTGATTTCAAGTACCTTTTTGTGGAGACGACTTTACGGCAATAATTTGCTGCTTCTTAACTCCTTGCTTAGTAGGAGAGGACAGCAAAACCTAAATATGCAGTAACTAATTTATCGAAAACATTACATACTATTTGGTAATAAAAAACAGAATTATATTTAAGCAAAATACTGAATTAAGAACAAAGTATTCAACACAGGTATTGGATTATGTATTTCTTTACCATCCAAGTATAGTCCGCGCGCGAGCTCCGAGGATTCGGGGGCTGAGGAAGCATCATACCCCGCACTCTCCCAGTACTAGTGTCGACCTTAACGTGAGAGTACGCTTACCGACTCGTTGGTTTTAATTTTGCGATAGCAGTGTTAAGTACGTGATTTCTAATATAAATAGTCTTACACTTATAAGTATTTTTGTTTGCACAAATAGCTATTTAATTTGATGAAAAAGGAATGGCAAGCACTAGCATAATTAAATGTCTTAGCATTAGAGGAACATTACTGGCAAAACTGGATAGCTTAATGGAGGATGTTGTCGAATCATTTATTATTGAAGTACGTAAAGAGAGTGTCAATAGTACATCAAATTCTTCAACTACTGATTTATCTGATTGCGAGAGTAATTAATAAGATTTCAAGTTCATTTTGTTCAATAAGTATCAGTTCATTAAATTAAATTCATACGTGATCAATTGTTTTTATTTTATTTGAAGTACATAATACCCTCATAAAACTATTTTATAATTTACACTCGCACGGAGGCTTAAGATGGTTTAGTATCGATAGCGCAATATCGACTAATTACAACACTAGCTCATTACGTCAACATTCCTTAAAAATCCTCGGAGCTCGCGCGCGGACTGTAAGTTTACCCCAGATACCATTAAAAGTTATTTATTGTAGAAGTGATACATGCTCCATCCTGTCAAAAGCTGTATAAACTTATACCAAGAAGCTCACCTTATTTCCAATAGATATAGGGACGGTTTTCTGTTGCATCACGTACCGGGCGCCCGCGTTACTTGACGGCAACAACTTTGTTAGTACTGCCGGCTGATTACTTGTATCCGTGTTTGAGTGACCTGCTAAAAAGTAAATAGTTTTATTAATATATTGGAAATCCTCATCGCTTAAAGAATAACCGAAGAAACCTCGAGTCTCGTCGAATCGAACGATGCGATTGTGAGGGTGTTAAAATGCCGCAAGCAGGTTTCTAATGAATTACGTAGCTACTAAGCAAATATTCACGAATTACTTCCACGGTGAAAGAGTAACATCGCGTAATCAAAATCAAACCTGTGTGCTTAGTGAGAGTTTTTTAACGTTCTCAATAGCGTAAAAGTTAGCTCATATTTGCATGGAATCCTACGGGCGACGGACCGTCGAGGCGATCCGCCCGGTCCCCTCGGACTGGGTGAATCGCGACCGAGGACGTCTCACCTTCCGAGCGACGCAGGTGCTCACGGGACACGGCTGTTTCGGTCGCTACCTGCACCTCGTCGCCCGGAGGGAGCCGACGCCGAAGTGCCACCATTGCAGTGGCTGCAACGAGGACACGGCGGAGCACACGCTCGCGTACTGCCCCGCTTTTGCGGAGCAGCGGCGCGTCCTCGTTGCAAATATAGGACCAGACTTGTCGCTTCCGACCGTCATGGCTACGATGCTCGGCAGCGACGAGTCCTGGCAGGCGATGTTCGACTTCTGCGAGTCCACCATCTCACAGAAGGAGGCGGCGGAACGGGAGAGGGAGAGCTCTTCTTCCCTCTCGGCGCCGTGCCGCCGCCGTCGGGCCAGGGGCCGGAGGAGGGCGTTTGTCCAGCTCCAGCCCCTATGAGGAGGCAGTCTCCTCCCGGTGATGGTCACGGGGCGACCTAAGGGGGTTGAGGCTGCGCCGCACGCTACCGTCACTCTAGCGCGCTGGCACCAGGAGGACGGGACGGCGCGTCGGCGGCTGCGGACTGCGACGCGGTCCGCATTTTCGTCGTCGCTGTCGTCGCCGAACATACTGTTGAAGAGCAACCCGGTCGGCGGTGTATCGCGTTCCGACCCGGCAGGCTGGTTCTGGCCCAGCGGGGTATCCCGGAACACCAGCGGCACCGCCCGGGCGGCCTGGTAGGGCCGCCGTACCGCGGAGACTGACGTCGTTGGTCGTCGACTATCGCCTCGACGACCCGTCGGTCGGGCGTCCTCGGGGTGGCGCCGCGTGTCTGGTTGTAGTGTTGACCGCGGGAACCCCCCTACTCTGAACGGGTTCTGACCCCGGACGGAGATCGGACGCCGGGTGTAAGAGTGCAGGGGAGTCGTTTAGTGGGTGGGCCCTAAAATCCTTGGGCCCGCGATCTGCTCTCAACACCTGCAGATCGTTGAGTCTCACATACCCCGCGCGCCCCCTAGGCGCGGGGACCTCGTAGGAGGTTCGGCCCCCGGCCAGAAAAAAAAAAAAATTTGCATGGAATGGGATCGTTTGCCTACGTTTTCCGCTAGGGGCGCTGTTCCAACTGCATGCAAAATTGGGTTAACTTTTACGCTATCGAGAACGTTAAAAAACTCTCACTAAGCACACTGTAATAAATATTTTTTCTTTTTTTTATTGCCTTAGTAGGTAGGCAGACGAGCGTACAGCACAACTGATGATGGTGAGTGGTTACCGTCGCCTATGGACTTCAGCAATGCCAGGGGCAAAAATCATAATTTGCGTGATTACTATCTGCTGAATTGGAAATAACAGGTATTTTACTGTTCAAACGTGAAGCACGATTTCTTCGCAGTGGACTTAATCAGAGGGTAATGGTTAAGGCAGCGCGTGAGTGGAGGTGACGAGCGCTTACCTTGCACTACGACCTTAGCCACTAAAGGCTTAGCTTGAGTTGTTCCGGCGGCCTTTGCTGGTGTTAACTGTGCCTGAAACGGTAACATATATTTAATGTATAAAATATATATTTTGACCAACAAACCTTTTTTATTATTAGAAGCAATCAAGTTGATTTGTATGAAACCTTTTTGTTACAACTCTGATAGTGGTACATGCAATAGGATCCAGGAAACGGCCATTAGTACCTGATCAGAATTAGCTCGGACATATTGGAGAGTGGCACCTGATCCGGCAGACACCAGCTTAATTTTCTGTGCTCCTTCAGCTGGTACCATAACTAACTGCTTACCAATTTGAGCTAGAAATAGAAAACATTTTTTATTGGAAACTTCCGTGAACAAACTTACCGCACACCTTCTGTTAAGTGGTTACCATATCCCAAAGATATTACAACGTGGATGTCGCCTGGTTGAAAGACGACGAGATAGAAGACTCAGCCGTATTGTTTAGAGTCTGTTCCAGTGCTCAAAGCAAAAGGCAGAAATGTGCAGCACGGTGTTCTATGCCCAATTGAGTTTACAATACGCTCTACTATCAGTAATTACGTGAATTTTGCGAGTTTCATCTTTATTACATGGACTAATTCCTTCAACATAGAAATTATTTGTTCCCATATGTTAAGTATATAGGTATTACATTTGTCCGCCCGCAAAATTGGATACGAGGAACACACCGGATGTCTTATCATTTATGTCACGACACTCACAACTCATGTTTTAGAAGTTTAACTGACTTCAATAAAGAAGTCCATAGGTTTTTTGTGTGATTTTAACAATACCACTTACTAATTAAATTCCTACCCACATATCAAATTAATCATCAGTTATATTGAAATTTATATTAAAATGTTTCTCAATCTTTCTCTACGGGGCAGAGTCCTGGACAATTAGGGCATCCGAGCGCAAGAAAATAAACGCATTTGAAATGTGGCGCTGGAGACGAATGCTACGAATTCCGTGGACGGCCAAGAGGACAAATAAATCGATCCTGGATCAGTCAGGCTCTCAACAATCTGTTACCAGAGGATCCTCAGCTACTTCAGTCATATTGCCCGTCGACAACTTGTACAAAGTGATTGTGACGGGCAAAGTAGAAGGAAAGAGACCCCGCGGCCGATTACCTAGCCATTGGTGTGATCAAGTAACCGCTCTAACTGGGTTGCCAGTCGCAACCGCAATTCGAGCAGCTGAGGACCCGACGAGATGGAAACAGCTCACGAGACAGGCAACGGTCAAGTTTCAAGGACACGACCTTCAGCAATGAAGAAAGCGACGAAGAAAAAAGAAGAAATATTGAAAAGAATATGAATACTGAATGGTAATTAAAAAATTATATTCATAACAAAATCTCACCTAATACAGCATTGCCTTTTGAGTTTGTTTGTACACCAGCCACTGAGACTTTTTTTGTATTTTTATTCATCACAAACGTAACAGGTTTCGGCGCGATGGCGTATTGCTTGCCCGGGCCGAACGTGGTCTTCGGTTTGGTCGTCTGCGACAGGCGGGGCTTCGGCGCTATCGGCACTTGTCGCGGCATGCTGCTCACTTCTGGCTTTTTAGTGGGTTTCAAAGATGCGGACTGTAAAAAAGATTCATTTATAGAATTTTCACCATTCAACACCACAATATAGATTCTGCGAAGCACTGGTCTTTGCTAGGCCCAGTGTTAGCAACACTCCCGGTTTGAGCCCCGTTAGCTCACCTACTAGTTCGGTGAATCTAGAATAACCCCTCGAGGTTACTAGAATAGGTAGGAAGTTTTATAAAACCACAATATTAGTAGTCAGTTACAAGGTCGTTCACTCAATAATCAACTCTGTTTGATTCTGAAAATGCTTCTCAAACTTATGTGTGATTTAAGGAAAAAACGTATCGAGATTCATTGGATTCTAGAAAGAGCATTAAACAAATTACGGCTATATACATCAGTTTCTCGGATAGAAGAGATGATTGGGGTCTTTGATTATGTAATGATAGAACTTTTCGTACGATTATCGCCTTTAAAAGAGCACAGAATTATAAACACCCTGGCACTAGACGTTCGCTTTTGGAGTCGCAAATCTCGTAATTGATGAAATCGACTAAATAACATGCTATTCATTCGAAAGTTTTTAATGAATTACCTTTAATAGAATGTATTTAGGTTGTATGGTTATTTCTTTGGAAATGTTATCACTTTCCACTTTTAAGCTATCAAGATCTAAATTAAGATCCAACATTGTGTCTTGTGGTGTTATTATATTCATTTGCTGAAATTAATCCATAAATTTAATCTATAGTAGGCATTATTACATCACCAAAAACAAATACAATGCCATTTTACAATTGGGATGTCCATCCCTAATTTAACAGATAAGACATCCATGTCCTATCAGGCATGAGATTATTCCATAGACAGCCCACAGAGTTCCTCCCCAGAGCAAGTGTTAGCAATTCTCTTAGGTTGAGCTTCTGAGCTCACTTTCCCTTCCGAGCGTAGTTGGGATAGCCCGGTAAGCTACCAGTGATTAGATAGAGAAAAATAATAGGATTGTATTGGTGATAGAAAGATACCACATTTTTTTTGTATGTCTCCAAATGTGTATTCACGAGCAACTTAAAATAAAAGATAAATGCTTAATAAAATAAATCAGTTTTAGGAAAATTATTAACTCCGACATCAGTATACAGCCCACATTTATGCTGCAAATAAATGACAAGTTTCAGATAGAAGGCTAGGATAATCATTATTAAAATACAAATGAGATTTAATAATTAAATAAACTGGGTGATGGCATTGCTGATTTGTCGCCTCTCAGCTCCAATTTCATTCTATTGACATAACAATAGAGTTATTTATTGAATAAATGTGTCTGTAGTAATGGTAAACAACTCATTTACCATAATATTAAGCTATACACTAATCTCTGGCAAAACATTACTAGCTGTGATTACTAAAAAGCGAATAAATACTTGAAATAATTCATTAAAAATTAACTATTACAAGTTAATTAACTAATTACATATAACTTATAATATATATTATGGTTAAACATGAAAAAATGACAGCATATTTACGTTCAGCTCAATAGTCACTTCAGGTTCTGGAGTTTGATCATCTTGCACAGCATACTCCTGAAGCGAAAACTGGTCACCTGTAAAATCTGTAATTAATTTTGATTTATTGTACAACATAAATAAATTATATTTGAAAAAATATATTTGATAATCGCAGACATTGTATATTGTACATTGTTATATTATACAATGGGTAATGAAATAATTGTTCAGCAACATTTTTTGGTTACATTTTTTATTTATTTCCACAAATGTCAACAGCTCAAAATCCACCTGGTGTTAAGTGGTTACTGAAGCACATAAACATCCCCACGCGAATTAAGACACCCTTGAGTCATGAGGTCTATGTCTTAATTACACATCGTCGCTGTCAAACCAAAATCTTCTATGTGCAAAAACTCTATTTTGAATTAACGAGTAAAAACATTTTCATTTAAATTTTTATATTAAGGTGAATTTCTAAGAACTATATCAAATGAAAGCTATAGATAAATATTAAAGCTAACACACATAACAGTTTTTTATAAGGTAGATAGGGCTGTCAACTATACGATAAAGTCAAAAAGTAAAAACCTCAAAAAGTGCACACTGCAGATTTTGGTTTGACTATGATGATATACAAAAGACACACGTTTTGGGGCAGAACTACATAGAGTGGTGGTACATACCTATGTGGCACCACCTTACCGACACTAATCAGTAAAGTATCTAGTAATAAACTGTGGTGTAAATTTTGGATTTTATTCTCAACTAAAGCAATAATATCAATAAATGAAAAAATTGTAAATGTAATATAAGCACAAAATTAAAATCAATATTAAGGTGTCTGTGATTATTGTTGGAATTTGATCACTAACTAGTAATGATAATTTATGTCATTGCAAAATCTCATTCAATGGCACAGATTTAGGGCTCATGATCACGTGTCTCTAAAGCTAGTGAGTTGGTGTTTTCATCTTCATAATAAGTCGCTCAGGGAATAATTGTGTGACTTCATTTATATAAAGCTTTTGGCATCTCAGGGAATGTTTTCATTATAGTTGAATCATGGTTTGAAACATAAATTGGACCTAAATTGTTCATTGTTGTGAACAATTTAGGAATAGAAACAAATTCTGTTGTTTTGTGTTGTTCATTACTGGAGACTGCAGATATACTAATAACATTTTAATAATGTCATAGACTATAATTGATTTTTATCTAAGTTTTTTTACCAATGACTTCTTCCGTTCCTGCATCCATTAAAATTTGTTGTTCTTCAAAATCCATTGAGAGATCACCTGAGTGTTCATTTGCAGAGAGAGTCATATTATCTTGACTAACAACCACTCCGGCATTATCAAAATCCATCTAAAAACCCATTTCAAATATTGAAATTTCAAAAATGAAACACCATTCCTTCTTTAACTCTATTACACAAGATTCACAATATCATAGCAGTAAATATGCTTATATTCTATCATTCTGTACTTTCTTTTATAAGTAACACTAAAATTACATGAAAATAATATTTCTGTTAAAACAGCAATCACTTATATTAATATTTTACTCCTTGTAAAATGCTCTTTGAGATGTGCGTACTATGCACCTACTCATGTCAGACAGATTACTATCTCTGTTGTATGTGCATACTTCAATAAAATGGGTATGCGTGCAATATGCATCCTGTTTTTATTTGAAAACTACTTCCAACTGTGAGAAAGCACCAGTAATACCTAGTGACTGATTCAATAATCAATGACTTGAATTACTAGCTTGGATGCTTTGCATTAAAAAAATATTTGATTTTATTGCTTCTGTGAATCTTGTAAAGGTAAAACGCAAAATACTGTTAAATTGTGACCTTAATTAAATTAATTGAATGAGAATTATAAAACAGAAAGATAAAACTTACTCTATGAGCAGATTTTTTATTTATTTAAATGAGCAGATAAAATGAAAATGGCTAAAATGCTTTTTTATCACGTCACCACCTAGCGTGAGAAAGGTATTGAATTTTCAATGGTAAGAGATCCCACCTTTCATTCAAGTGCTTCTAAAGTATCAGATCTACAAAAGATTATGTGAATCCTTTCACATAATTCACATTGAAGTGAAAATGGAATTAGACACCAAATACTAGTAAAGAAACTTAACAAAAAAGGTTTTAAGGAAGAATTTTTGGTCAACTGGGCATCCAATTTCTTTTATGTGTAAAAAGATGATGGATATAAATAATAAGAAGGTGATAATTATTTTTTTGCAAATAATGGATGTAAACTTAAATCTCATCATAGAATTCATTAATGGAAATACTATCCACTGCGGACAGGACAACTCTTGAACGATTTTCATTAAATGTCAAATGCAAATGATTGTCATGAACTTTATTGCTGTACATAAACACAAACCTTACTATTATGAATTGAGTTTTAGTTATCAAAACAACAGACCTCAGAGATCAATTTGAAATCTGAAACCATACTTCAGATACAATTTTACATTATCTAAAAATGAAAACTATTTTTTTATTTGATCCTGAGTTTATAACTTAACTATTACACTAAGGAGGATTATATTATAATAATGAGGATATAAAAAATTAGATCTTTGCATGTTGTGAAAATTAATTATGATTGTTGATGCAAAGTATGATTGATTACCAACAATTCTGGAATACAAATCATAAGTTTGTGTGGTTGATTTATCGAAGTGCCTTTAATTATTACAATAAACTCGTTGCTAAATAAGCATAAAAATAAGAAAAGAATGTCTTGAATTCTGCAGTGAATACTTACACTTTCTATGCTTCCTTCTAAGTTTAATGAATCATCTAAGTTATGTTCCATTTTGAACGTCTGATTAAACGTTATTATTTACAAATAATATCACAAAAAGATTTTAATTTTCACTCCGGTACACTAAAGATTTTTGATGGTATGATAGTTTAAAAGAGGCCGCCATTTTAACTTGTCAAATAAATGGACCGAAGTCTCACGAATCGCCACGGTTAAAAACAAATTTAGGATTCACAATACATACATTTATTTGATATATGAGTAATAAATGAACACGCACTTTGTTTAACAATTAATAAGAGCGTCTGTCTAACTATTTAAAGTAGATAAAATAGGCTACAATTATTTATATTCCCAAAAGTAAACATAAAATTCCTTAAAATTTCGATGGCGCTATTTTGCAATTCAACTTTTTAATTTTGTGAACCATTCGCCAACATAACGAAAATAATCGATTCTCTTACAAAAAACAGAAGTCGATTTTTATCTTTGAAAATAGTAAAGTTACAGTACCTAGATATACCTATACCAGAAAAATATAAAAATAAGACTTGAATGAAGCTAATTAACACGTCATCTCGGATCCTCCCGATCCACTAACGGTGTTTTTAGGTACTTTAAGCACCGGTCACCGTTCTGGTCGAACCTGTCGCTTGCGACGAAGAGCTCGACGAGTAAATTAACTCTCAGACACAGCCCACTGAGTTTCTCGCCGGATCTTCTCAGTGGGTCGCGTTTCCGATCCAGTGGTAGTTTCAGCGAAGCACGGCTCTTGCTAGGGTTCGTGTTAGCATCGTCGTCAGGTTTGAGCCCCATGAGCTCACCTACTAGCCATGGTTACGCTGGAATAGCCGCTCCAGGCTACCAGCTTAGGTAGAAAAAAAAGAAGGTAATTAATGATGAAAAGAACGCGAGGGAAAAAATTCTAATTACCTAGGTATTTCACTAAATTAAAAAATGGCCGTTGCTACACTTTTATTTATTTCTAAACATTTATATCTATATCTCACATAGGTACCACATTTTATTTTGCACATCTATCTATTTTGCACTACTTGAAAATCAGGCACAAATTCAAGCTTAGCATACTTACCTACTACAATTATTATTAAGTTTAACTAAGAAATGTGAGTTAAACCTTACACCTGGTGCGACCAGTATTTTTAATTTATTCGCAACTTTAAGAAGTAACTTTGATTGGTTATTAGAATGCAACTAGATGACTCTTAAAAATTAATTATATAGTAATGTAAAAGACTAGAATCCTAAATATTCGGCTATATAGAGTATTTTTATAGAAATTAAAAAAATTACTAGAACAATGAATCTAACATGTTTACTTATATGTTTTTATTGTATTTGCCTAATACCCTATTGTATTAATTTGTAAGCTTTTTTGTTAAATTGTTATTAAAGTAATCGCTATACGATTTGGGATATAATCATAATACGATTATAACTTTTCTCTGAAACTTCATAATTCGACTAACGCGTGTAGAAAACACACACGCAACAATAAATTATACACTTAATATTTGAGGTCATAAGCTGAACACATTTTTTTTTAAGAGATTTTATGACCTAGTAACCAGTCATGTCTTCTTTTAATGTAATATTCTTTTTTTTATGAGAAATGATATTATGGAGTGAAATGAAATGAAATGAAGATGATTAATTTGAGACATTAATCAACTGGGATGAAATTAAATTAAATGAGATGAGATGATATGGGATGAAATATAATCTCAGTAAAATGGTAGACATTTACTGAGATTTTTTCAATGGATTTTTTGGAGGATCCCGAGAAGTTACGTCTAGTGGCTTTGTTTAATTTTTTCACATTTCTGCACTTTCACAGATATTAAACAGTTAATAAACCATCGTTATTACACATTTAAACCTGAAGAAACACTAAATAGACAAAATAAAACAAATCACACAACTCACTCCTCGCGTTCCCGCCAAAAAGTCACACAATATTTAAAAAAACAGTGGTGGCATAGATTATACACTTAGCTAAAAATTCTAGTTGCCGCTGTCCGTAAACAAGTCGAGAAATAAAGACGTCAATTAAAAATAATAATATATTTTAACCACAGGATTAATTTGACTAAAATATATTTACCTGCCGATTATCATTAGCTTATTTTAGCTAAGGTATATCCAGCCTATTAGGAAATTAAAATGCCCGTCAATTTGCAAAGTGTTCGCCAGTACTTAAGCGAGTTGAGAAATTCGGGTGGTTTGCACAAAGATCAAGCTGAAAAGTTAGTACCTACTTAATGAAATTGCTTTTATTATTAAAAATAACATTAGAATTATGAGTTACAAAGAATAATAGTATAGTTTTATTTTAAAGTGGCTCTAATAATATTTATAAATTAATCTATTTTGTGATTTGTATTTTATAACTTTAAAGAGGATAGGTCAGATCTCTGAACCTTCAAATCAGAACATTAAATTATTGGGATTTAAACATGTTTCCAAATGGGTTTCGCCATTCATGTTGTGATCTCTATGGGTTATGGTAAACACAACACCGAGTGGGCTGTGGGCACAGCTCTGCCTGAAAAATATATTTTATAATCCAAATTCAAACCATAGAATTTCATTCAACATATCATACTTTAAATCCTGCAAATTTTCCTCAATTTAAGTAGACCTGTCAAATCTTTCTAATTTAACAAACTAAAACGAACACATTACAGTTATTATTACAGTTTTATTTATTACAATTTTTTTTTTATTGTTACAATCCTCCCTCTAAGAGGCTGGCTTGTAATGTTGATCTTAACATTAATCATTATAGGTATCGCAATGTTCTTATGGAAATACTAAAAAGTACAGAACAAGAATTATCAGAGTCATTGAAAGCATTCATAGAAGCTAGTAAGTGTATTTTTTGATTAAATTTAAAGTTGTTGATTTAATTTTTCTTTCTGTTGGAATAAATAAGCAGATAAGTGCAGCAAACAATTGCTTAAAACAGCTGTAAAACCATAGCATAATTTTGGGTAAAATTATCAAAAGAAACTGCGGAATATCGAAATGCTAAATTGGCATTTCACAAAATTCATAAAAGAAATCAGTATCCCAAAAAATTATTACAAGCATCCAAATTAACCGTAATGACACTCTTGGTGTACTTTTCTTTTTCCTAGTAGAGTATGAATATTGACAGTTTTTTTTTCTCACGCAGTTGTTAATGAAAATGTGAGCCTAGTGATTTCAAGGCAACTCTTGACAGATGTGAGCACACACTTAGCACTGCTGGCTGATAATGTTTCACAGGAGGTTTCACACTTTGCACTTGATGTTATACAACCCAGAGTTATTTCATTTGAAGAACAGGTGAGATATATGTATTACTAGCTTTTGCCCGTGACTCTGTCCGCGTGGAATAGTTACTTTGGCATAATGCTAAATTTTACCCCCCACTTCCTTTACGTAGAAAGTGAAAATATTTTGAAACATTCTTTATTGGTGCTCCACTTGTATCGGTCTCATGATGTTATATAGCCTATAGCCTTCCTCAATAAATGGGCTATCTAACAATGAAAGAATTTTTCAAATCGAACCAGTAGCTCCTGAGATTAGCGTGTGCAAACAAGCAAACTCTTTAGCTTTAAAATATTAGTATAGATATGGAAATTTCATATTGGAAAACCAAATTTACTGTATATCATCTGATCATCCTTCAGAACAAATACTTTGAAGTAAAAAAATTCATAATATCAATCTCAGAAGAATACACCATAATAATTCTAAATTTATAATTCTTTGTTAGATTTTATTCAAAAGTTAATATTAAAGAAAATCTTTTAAGAAAGTCTTGGCCAATCCTAAATTATGAACACAAATGTTAACCCTGACAATAATAGAAATCATCTGTAAGAATGTATATAGTTAACAATGGTTACGTTATGTAAAATTTATTTGTAGTCTTTCATTATCATAGGTGGCCAGTATCAGACAGCACTTAGCAGATATCTACGAGCGAAATCAAAACTGGAAGGAAGCTGCTAATGTTTTAGTTGGAATACCATTGGAAACTGGGCAGAAGTATGATTTTCATTTTCTTCCAAAACTATTATTTTTATTTTTATTGCCTTTACAGACGGACCTGATGGTGAGTGGTCATAGTTATTCAGGGAAGTCAGCAATGTAATGAGCATATCCAACCCTCTCCCTAGCACTGACTCCCCTTAATATTGTTGTGAAATAGAACATGTCACAGCACTCAGGAAAAACTGGAGGGAAGCTCATTCCAAAATTAGATTGTATGTATCTCTGCACTGTGGGTGAACATAGTATTTCTACATCCCATGAATGAAATCAGTTCTGATAGCAATCTGAACAGCCCTGTTCTGTAGAAACAGGAGTAGGAAGTAGTTGGTATTTTAAACCCCAGTCCATGAAGGGGAGCAGTTTATCTGGGTATGTAGTACATACCACTGCTATGTTGAGTTTTATATTATACCTTTTAAACAACTCCAATATGAAAAATTTAATTGCACTAGCTTATACATAAAACGTTTATAGATTTTATACCAAATTACAGTGGATATCTTTTTTTGTTGAAAATGTTTCCATGAAATAAAAGATGAACATGACCTCTTGATTATATTTAAAATTTCATTTTTAGACAATATTCAGTTGATTACAAACTGGAAACCTACCTAAAGATAGCCAGACTGTACCTTGAAGTGGACGATCCGGTGCAAGCTGAGGCATTCGTCAACAGAGCCTCATTGCTACAGGCCGAAACAACCAACGAGCAACTGCAGATATATTACAAAGTTTGCTATGCAAGAGTTTTAGATTATAGAAGGTATATATTTTATACCTCTGAATAGTTTTGTCAGCAACAATTTAGGTTTAAAAAAAGGCCCATTACTTCTAAATCTTTAGATGTGACGTGTTTTTATTGTGTTTCAAATGATGCCAATACAGTTCTTAATAGTCAATCTGATAAATTTTAAATACAGAAATTCATAAATATTAAGGTATTGCAAGAAGTTTTTACTGATGGTAGGACCTCTTGTGAGTCCGCGCGAGTAGGTACCACCACCCTGCCTATTTCTGCCGTGAAGTAGTAATGCGTTTCGGTTTGAAGGTCGGGGCAGCCGTTGTAACTATAGTTCAGACCTTAGAACTTATATCTCAAGATGGGTGGCGCATTTATGTTGTAGATGTTAATGGACTACGGTAACCACTTAACACCAGGTGGGCTGTGAGTTTGTCCATTCAAATATGCAATAAAAAAAGTCGTGATCTAAAGGATAAGGCGCGCGGTGTACTTACCAATGCGTTCCGACACCCAGATCATTGTGAAGATCCACATTGCTCACCTAGCGAAACCTAGCTCACCTTAGCTTCGAGGGTTAACCTAAAAAGAGAAATTGTAAAATTTTGTGGGAGCAGTTTAGGTACTGGTCACTGAGCGAACACTACATTCGCAAAATCTATCATCGAAGCGATGCAACTATGTCCAGCTGAAAGGGTGAAACGTTATTAACAACTGAGACTTTAATTTCGTGTCTCAAGGCATTCAAGCGGGGACGCGTCGAACCCGTCGCTTGCGACGAAGGGGTCGACGAGTAAATTAACCCTCAAACACAAGCCCACTGAGTATCTCGCCGGATCTACTCAGTGGGTCGCGTTTCCGATCCGGTGGTAGATTCTGCGAAGCACTGCTCTTGCTAGGGTTCGTGTTAGCATCGTCGTCAGGTTTGAGCCCCGTGAGCTCACCTACTAGTTAAGGTTACGCTGATATAGCCTCTCAAGGCTATCAGATTAGGTAGGAAAAAGTGAAACATTCGCATTTCTCGACATTGCAACATAAACAAAAAGAAATAAAAAATGATTTGTTTTAGGAAATTCATCGAAGCGGCTCAAAGGTACAATGAATTGTCATATCGTAACATTATCCACGAAGACGAGCGGATGACGTGCCTCAGGAATGCCCTTATATGCACCGTGTTGGCATCTGCTGGTAATTGATTTCAATGTATTGCGAAGATTGTTGAGCTGCAAAAATAGAAAATCGATAAGACATTGACACATTGATAATACACAATATTTTTGTAATAAGACCACAGCTTCAGATCAGAGCATCTAGGACACGCCTTACAGCGTAGCAGGAATGAATAAAAAATTCTCCCTAAAAACTGGAACGCATGATTACATCGCGTAGAACAAGGCAGAGTGGTGGAATTTTCTATGCGCAGGCTTCCTATACTAGTGAGAAATAGGAGCAGTTAATATTCGTCAAAGTAATTTAAAATAAATAATAGTTTAAAAAAACTAACAAAACACGTTTTTATAGAAAATCCAACTAAAAAATAGAAAATAAATTTTAATAAATTTGAATTAAACATAGTGTAAGAAAAATTGATTTTATTGTAAAAAAAAGCGTGGGGTGCATGGTATCAGTAGTTATAAATATTTTATGAACAGATATGAGTAGAAGGGTTATTTTGATTATATCCTGAAAAGCACCCCACGCTTTTTTTTATTTTATAAAAGCGTATTTTATTAGTTTTTTTAAACTATTATTTATTTTTCATTTTTTAGTTGTATTTCAATTATTTCAATTTTTTTTTAATGTTGAATTGTCATAGGTCCTTAATAAGTATACTAAATTTCGAGTTAACGTTTTTTCGACGTTTCGACGTTTTTTTGAAGGGGATCAAAATCATGTTAAAAGATTCCGTTGCATACTTAACATACATACGTCTGAAGCTAATGAAAGCGTGTTAAAAAGTAATGCCTTTTATTTAAAATGTTACAGGACAACAGAGATCCAGAATGCTAGCAACATTGTTCAAAGACGAGCGATGCCAACAGCTGCCGGCATATTCTATTCTAGAGAAAATGTATTTAGATCGTATAATTCGACGGTCAGAATTGCAGGAGTTCGAATCCCTCATGCAGACACATCAAAAGGTTAAGTTAGGACATATTAAAGTTTTTTTTTGTTCGGAAAGGGGGCCGAACCTCATGCGAGGGGGCGCGCGGGGTATTTGGGTCTTGATGGTCTGCAGATGTGGGAAATACAACATTAAAAAAGGACATTTAAAAGTTACAATAGATGAATAGAAGCTTAAGTGAGAACCTTAACTAAATGTTGCCATCCCAAAAAATTATAGTCAGATTGATTATAATTTTTTTGCTATCATTTTGCTGTCTAAGTTTGCAGGTTTTTGATACCGAAATTTTAAGCGTGTCATCTCTATATTAGTTGAGAATAATAAATAGGAAACTAAATTCTACTCTGTTTGTATAATTTTCATGTTTCAATAATTACCGAATTCCGTAATCGGATATTAATAAATTACAAATTTTGTCATCAACCAATGAAAAATTGAGATCAAAAGCCACATTTTATTAATTACTGTTCTGTATTTTTATATTTCGTACATTCTTAACTAGGCAGTCTAAGTATGTGCCTACCAGGTTATGACCGCGTCTTGATCTATTTGTAATAATTATGTTGTTGATTGAAATGATAGAGGATTCACTGACGATTATTTTAAATGTAACAGGCGACCACACCCGACGGGTCTACGATCCTCGACCGAGCGGTTTTCGAACACAATCTGCTGTCAGCGAGCAAGCTCTACAACAATATAACATTCGAAGAATTAGGTGCGCTACTAGAAACGCCGCCGGCGAAAGCGGAACGAATAGCGAGCCACATGATCAGCGAGGGTCGCATGAACGGGTACATCGACCAGATCAGCTCCATTGTACATTTTGAAAGTAAGTACAAGAACTGAATTTTGTTAGAATTTATGTGGCCGACTACGCCTATACCACATTTGAATCGGGGGACACATGATGAGGTCCAAACTGAAGTCCAATGGAATTATCTTTGCATACTATTCAAAATTAAAGGCCATGTTTACTTCGCGGCAATTTTTTTAAAATTTTTATTGCTTAGATGGGTGGACGAGTTCATAGTCCACCTGGTGTTAATTGATTACTGGAGCCCATAGATATCTACAACGTAAATGCGCCACCCACCTTGAAATATAAGTTCTAAGGTCTCAAGTATAGTTACAACGGTTGCCCCATCCTTCAAACCGAAACGCATTACTGCTTCACGGCAGAAATAGGCAGGGTGGTTTTACCTACCCGCGCGGACTCAAAAGGTCCTACCACCAGTTCTCTGACAATAATCTCTTATTATTAATACTACCGGCCAAACTTCGAGATTTAATTCTAAGTCTCAATTCCATTATTAGCAGAAATATCATATAGCAATTCAGTATTCAATGTAATAGGTGAATTATTAATAAGGAATCCGCATGTTCACAGTTAAAGGCGCAAAGAAAACGAAATATTAGGGCATATATTAATTTAACATAAAATGATAATATTTCAGCTCGAGAAATATTGCCTCAATGGGACAAACAAATACAAAGCTTATGTTATCAAGTAAATAGTCTGATTGAGAAGATAGCTTCCGCAGAACCAGAGTGGATGGCCAAAGTCGTGGAGGAAGAAATGATTCAATAATTGTATTTTATACTTTCAAACAGCATAGATTAAATAATTATCTTAAATGAAGTCTTTTCTTTTCTAAGTACCTTTTTGACCCGAGTCATCCATAATATAATAATCGCACATAAATTTCATATTTTATATTTTACTAGCGACCCGCCCTCGCTTCGCTTCGGAAACTGTAATTTATTATTGATTTCTCCACTATTTAGTGAATGTTATTATACATGTAAACCTTCCTCTTTAATCACTCGATCTAATAAAAAAAACCGCATCAAAATCCATTACGTAGTTTTAAAGTTTTAAGTATACATAGGGACAGAGAAAGCGCCTTTGTTTTATACGATGTAGTGATTATTAACAACGTAGAGGGCAGTTTGGATCATTGTCAGTCTAACTGGAATGAATCAAATTATGTAGCACCTCAAGCACACGAAGTGAGAACCATAAAGATGGTTATACAGGTTATACTATTCATAGGAATTGCTTTTATAAAGATGAAAATGTAGTTTAGTGATTTTTCCAGAGGATTCAAAGATTAAAAGATCGACTAATTTAAAAATCTTATACTAAAAATGCTGGCATAGAAATCTTATATACTGCTAGTGTTTTGTTTTGTAGTTATTTAATTCGACTTAATTATTCAGAACCGCTCCATAATCCCGAATATCATTGCGGTCGTTCACCCATGTGAAGAGCAGTTCAATATCTTATACCTTTAAACGAGCAATTCTTGTAAACAGCTCTAATCTGAATCTCGGAAACAGCTCAACGATTTTCATAAAATTGAGTACATATACAGGGGATTTCGGGAGCGATTAATCGATCTACGATTTATTTTCAGAAAATGTTTTATTCGTGTTTTCAATAATCAACTTTACCCGACATATTGTAATAATAAAATAGTATTATCGAGGAATAATAATACTATTTTTCTTAATTGAGGGCAACTAACCGCTTTAAAGACACAAGATGGCGTTATCAAAAAAAAACCGAGCAAAGCTCGGTCAACATCCAGTTAGTATTAACTTAATTATATTGCTTTAATGTATATGTACTTAACCAATAAAAATTAATGATTTTATAAACAATCATTTAAATTACTCAATCGGTCAATTGATTGTCCTAAATAAGTTTCTTTTTGCAAACAACAACAAATTGCTCGATTGCGAAAAACTGCCTTATATTTAGTCCCGTCAGTCAATAAGCCAGTCCCTTTGAAGTCGTCCTACAAATTTTGCAATAATCCGATTGCCCTACGACATATAAGACGGATTATTTTTATACAGGTATTTGTTATCATGAAAATCATAATATTTGTTTAGAGGTAACCAAAATAATAGGTATTAATCTGTATAAAACAAGGATATCATCTTCATAAAAGACTTTATTAAAACAATCTTAACAGAATAAAATAAAATAATAAGGGGTAATATTATATCTCAACATTTTTCATACTTTGAGGTACAGGACAAATATGGGGTTTAAGGGTTTAACAGATAATAAAACAAAATTTAGTTGATTAAAACAGACTATTCATTTTTATTATCATTCAATCAATTATATATCACACCACAGGTGCTTATTTACAAGATTTATTAATTAAAAGTCGAGTGAGACTATATTTTGACGCGAATTGTTTACAAACATTTAGGAAAAGCTAATGAAATAGTCTCACAGCGTTATTAGGAAAGCAGGAAAGGAATATTGCGTTTTGAACGCTCCGGGCACTATACACGTAATTTCTACGATACTGATTGATTCTCTATACACGCTGTTTGGTTGTGATAACAGTATGTATTTATCTACAAGAGTAGGTTTGGTTATATTTTCTAGGGCTCGAGTTCGAGGGCAACGCCAACCTTGTGGCCACCTGCATTGAAGTTCTGTCCATCGATGGCAGCAGACAATGTAAGGGTTACGCCTGTAAATAACATGTACTATGAATATTAAATATGCAATTAATTGCCTCATAAGTGACTTTCCAATTTACAAACAATGAAATATTATTGAGAAAAAAATCACGAGAACGAGATAATCGTGTTACGCGTTCACAAACTTACGTAAAATCTTCACAGATCGGAAGACATTCCGATAAGAGATAACACAATCGTGCCTTAAAAAAAATAGAGCAATGCGTGATCTGCGTAAGTCCAGGTTATTTTCTGCCTGAGCATGATTGATGAGTTGATAAAACAGTTACGTAAAATGGGCCGAATGTCATGAGATTTTACTGTGTTATCTTGTCATTTATGAGTTTTGCACAAAATAAACACTTTCAACGTAAAAATGCAAATTACAGATTATTTTTTATCATAGGACTATTATATGAAACTTTCGGAAACCTAATGATTGTACATATAAGATAACTAACTGTACCCCTTCGCTTTGCTGGGTATTTAAATTAACATTATTATTTCTCACTCCCACAAAGATTCTCATCATTAACGCCCCCCGCAACTGGTGTAGGGAGTCCAACATTCATATAAATATTAGCCTATCCATTAAGTACATTTTCTACATGGATACCAAGTTTCAAGTCAATCGGATGGATGGTCCAGTGGTTATAACGGAACATCTGTAAAAACAGCTGTAGATTTATAGTATTATATTTCATTAGTATAGAAGAATATTGACCTGGGCGTAGTTTCTGTTGGTAACCAAGACCGATGAGGGACTTGTTGTTGATCTTGGCGTGCAGAGACGCGTCTTGGTCCAGCGCGTACTTCGCTCCAACTCCGAATAATGTGTCGGCCGAACCCGCCGTCCACTTCATGCTGACGCCGCAGTCCAGCTTGTCAGATACCTTCTGGTAGATTGAACCGCCGAAATCTTTACCATTGTCTCTGTGAAAATAATTTTCATTAATGTTACGCTAAATCACTGGTGGTAGGATGTATTGTGAGTCCGCAGGGGTAAGTATCACGACCCTGCCTATTTCTACCGTGAAGCAGTAAAGTGTTTCGGTTTGAAGGAAGGGGCAGACGTTGAACTATACTGAGAAATTATATTTTAAGATAGTGGCCGCATTTACGTTGTAGATGTCTATGAGCTCCGGTAACTACTTAACACCAGGTGGGCTGTGACCTATTCCACTCAACAATACAAAAAAAAAAGACGAATTTTGAAGTCGTGGATAAAACGTCGAGTGTAGTCATAACCAGCGTTGCGACTAAGCCGGTGATCAAATTTCGCAGGTAATTTTAAGGAAATGTGAATTTATAACCGTGGCTTCGCGAACGGCTTCGACGATGCAGGAATAGCGTCTTCAATATATAAGGTCACTGCGACTGTTCCGGAAATACGACTCAAACCAGAAAGGTCAGGCTGTTTCGGAATTACTGATGCTTGGGCGTATAACACACACGAGTTGTTACCACCGCCTGCCTACTCCTGTCGCGATGCAGTCATCGTATCACGATAGTCATTCATGAAATGTTTTTTTAAATCATTATCTTCAATAATAATAAAAAAAATATTCATAATAACAGGCAGTTTCATTTAATCTAGATAAGATGATAGATATACTATATTCATACTGTTACAATGGCATATTGTCGCATATTATTCGCACGCCAAGAGATTAAAAACTTTTACGTCACACCTTTCGCCTAATTATAAAATTGTTTTTCTATGTTTCAACAACAAAGAGTAAATACCTATTTAAAATAGAACATAACGCGCCATTTGATTTTTAATTCACGTATATCGGAATGCGTGAGTATTTGAAAGGCCAGCTATATATTATATTATCCTGTTAATGTCAAGTTGAATCATGCGAAATATGAAGAGTTAAGTATTAAGGTCAATGCCACACACGGCCGCACCGCATTGAAGTGGTTTATATAACAACGGGACATCCTTGCCGACTCAATCTAGAACAATTATAGGATTATGCAACCAAACTTCTAAGTAATCAATACTTTCCTGTGTTACGTCGCAAATTGCGGCCTTATTTATTTATATTTTGTCAATTTTTTATTATGTAAAACATTGACAACATTTTCTTCCATGGCAGGTAAATTGTACAAATTATACACTAGTAAATCTAACTTTTTCGATTTATTCTAGCATTGCATTGATTTATTCTGCAACTAATATTTCTGACCTTTTTGGTTATTAGAATATAAAACAGATTTTAATATTCACACATCTGGCGACATTTCTGTTTTTTGTAAAAATATTTATATAGATAATACATATACATATAAGCACAAACCATCTTCTCTGTTAAAGATAAGACATTTTCCAATAGCTATACCTTGAATATTTCATATTTTACAGAGTTTATGAATTTAATCAATTTGAATCATTGAAACCAATCTCCAGATTATGTTAACAAGCTGCAGCTTTGATTATTTACCTGATCATTTTAACATTTTTTATTTTATTTATTTTGCCAGAAAAAAAAAACTAAACAAACCACTTTTATTGCCCTTTTATGTAGCTAAGGCATATAGCCCACCTGATAGTTAGTGGTTACCATTGCTCATGGACGTCGACAATGACAGGAGCAGAACAAAGTACTGTCCGAAAATTACTCAATATTAAAAAAAAAAACCAATATAATTTGTGATTACTTACACGTTAGTGTGGAGAGCAAAGTCACCAGATTGGTAACCTAGAGCAAAGTTGTTCTTGGAGAACTTTGCTTTTTGTGTATCAAACTGGGTGTGTACACCAGCCAGCCAACCCTGGTAGTTTAGTACTGCTGCAACGTCTACAACTGGACCGGCCAAGTCCAGATCCAAGTTAGTGTTCACTGCTACTGTGTCATTGGTGAATGAGGTCTTCAATTTTCCAGTTTTAGTTCTACAAATCAAAATTAATTTTTACTTTAATATGGACAGAAGGATAATGCTATTCTACATCCATTGTGGCTTTAACATTGAAATCTAGTATATACTATAATGTGTTATAATCCATTATCAGTATATTGTGGTAATAGCTTCAATTTACTGTCATTACTTAATTGGTTTGTTGCTATGTTAACCCAACACAGACACATTGTGACAGAATTAAGGCATTCAATTGCAGTAATTTTTTTTGCAGTAATTCTTTCCATAGCTTTTTTTGGAACCAGCATGTTTACTGTTTATATTTAATCTGTGGCCCAGTTACCCTATCAAAATAAAGTGATGACTCAGAAATGCGAATGTACAATTCTCAGAGGTATACTTGTTTCAAAAATGAACTTTTATTTATTTCAATACATATCAAAGCTTACCCAGTCTGTGGGGCAAAAGTGCCTTCAAGGGTGACTTTAAGGCCAGCAGCAATCTTGTCCTGGATTGTGATGTCAGTAGCTAATGTATTGTCTGTGTTCCACTTCTCTGTGAAAGTCAAGCCATAGTCTTTCACTGCAAATTTGGAAGAAAGGCTGCCAAAAACCTAAAAGAAATTTATAAATCATCATTAGATCATCATTTTTGTAAATCTAAAACCAAACTACTTCATTTTTAAACATAAATCACTGATTTCACATCTTCATTCTTACTTTTCCGCTTTCCTGGTTGGAGGTGATTCCGCTGGTGAATTCAACACCAGACTCGCTCTTGGTCTTCAGGTCGAGTTTGAAAACACCAAAGTGATAGCCCTTGCTGAAGACATCATTGGCCTTCTTTCCAAGGTCAGCATAGTATGGGGGAGCCATGTCCTATAATCAAGAGGTATTTAAATATAAGATAGAATTAAATTATCAAAATAATAATCTAAGACAAGGGCAGAATCTAGGCCAAATACTTTTTATAAGCTTCCTGGGTTTTATAAGAGTAGGCTTCCTGATTTTGATGTTGGATTTGAGTGTTTTTTCAAATCATCATAAGGGGACAGAATATTTGCTGATCAACAAGAAGTTAGGGTTGTAATTCTGTATTTTCTAAATAAGACTATTTTCGGGCATTTGCCCTGGTTTTTCAGGTCTGATATTCTGAATGTGAGACTGTGTTAGTTTGATGATTTTATTCAAAATTACGAAAGATAATGTTTCTTGATTTACATTCATTTTTATCTAACCACTACTGTCATGCTAATAACGACTGCCAGCTGTGTCAGGGCCAAAGGTTTCGAAAAATATTAATCCAACATTTTTAGTTGACTTATTACATAACACAATCATGCTAAGAAGGAATGAATTATTCTAATAAGCATACATATATATGTATAATATGTAAGCAAAATGAAGTACTTGCAAGTTCATTGGCCTTAAACTTGACCTTCGTCTCAAGATTTCCAAGCCAAATTTCAAAGGTTGAAATCACATGCGTCAAATAACCAAGAAACCAATGTCATGAGATTTACGAACCAATAATATTATTAGGAAAATGGAAATACAAATAACTTTAATGTGGAAACTTAAAATATTTTTGCATGCACTTAGAACTCTATTATAAGTATTAGTCTTTAAAATGACCGTAACATGACGTCGATACTTCCTAGTTAGAACCGGCTATGACCACCAAGACGCCTAATTGCAGTTTACAATTTGGTTGATCTTGCAAACATAGATTGATCGTTTTTATCTTTCACGTAGATACTTACTGTGTTTTATAAATTCACAAATTGGTATTATTTCACAGAGAATTCCACGCAAATTGGCGCGCGCGACCAATCTTTGCACTGCCCACCACAAGACAATTTTGATTATGTCAGCAAGTCACAAGAGGGCGCATCGCGCCGGAACTAGCGTTTTAGAAAATCTGTGATCATTTACTTCAGATATTAAAATATTCTTCAGTGTTCTTGTTAATCAAATACCCAAAATTGTGGAACTAGTTTATTAATGTAATAAACAATAAATATGCAATAGATAAATTTACCCTAATTTACAGAATAATATTAAAAGTAGTAAAATGACTAAAAGCGCTGAATGGCAGTGTGACGTCTTTTCCTCTTCTTATTTTTTATTCTCAAACAGCCGGAACTCTGGTCTTTTAGCCATTTTTCATACTTTACAAAAGTAAATTGGAACGGAATGAAATGAATGTGAATGTGGTTTGACTTGAAATAGTTACTTATGGTATTAAAAATTGAATAAAATGAAATGAGATTACTTTAAATGGAATAGTTTTCCTGTATAATGGTGGGAATTTTTAGACTAATATATTTATTAACCTGAACTTAAAACATACTTATTAAACATACTTTGAAGTCGTCGTAGCCTAAAGGATAAGAGTTCCGGTGGATATGTTATGAGCGATGCACCGGTATTCGAATCTCAGGCGGGTACCAATTTTTCTAATAAAATACGTACTCAACGAATGTTCACGATTGACTTCCACGGTGAAGGAATAATATCGTGTAATAAAAATCAAACCCGCAAAATTATAATTTGCGTAATTACTGGTGGTAGGACCTCTAGTGAGTTCGCGCGGGTAGGAACCAGCGCCCTGCTTATTTCTGCCGTGAAGCAGTAATGCGTTTCAGTTTGAAGGGTGGGGCAGCCGTTGTAGTTATACTGAGATCTTAGAACTCATATCTCAAGGTGGGTGGCGCATTTACGTTGTAAATGTCCATGGGCTCCAGTAACCACTTAACACCAGGTGGGTTGTGAGCTCGTCCACCCATCTAATTAATTTTTATATACAGTCAAACCTGGATAAGCGAGAGTTCAAGGGAGCACAATCTCATTCTCGCTTATAGAGGTTTCTCACTAACCCGAGTTTCTCGCTAATGTACCCTCTGAATTTCATTTCGCGATTTTCCGGATTCAAACGCATTCACTATTCACTTATTGACAGTATTTTAATTTTCCGTTTGGACATGATGCAGAACAGAACTTTCCTTTTCGCAATTGATTAACGATAAACTGAGTAAGTCCGACAAACAGGACGGTACACAGGCACACGTGTCCATTCGAAAAGAATGCGATAAAATAACAACGTTATTTAGTTTCACGAAATAGAATAGGTTCAATATTGACGAGAAAACAATTCAAAAACAATAGAAGGAATTTCCAAAAAAGTTAAGAACGAGTCATAAAATAGCAGATGTTAAATTCGTAATTTGTTTTTTCATTTGTTCCTCCTAAATAATATAAATAAATAAAGCTCGACTGTCGCTTATAGAGGTATAGATAAGTAACAGTCTCACTTACGGAGGTCCATGAGGGAAAAACGACTCTCTCTTACAGAGGTTTCTGTTTCTCTCTAATAGAGGTTTTGGGAGCTTAAAATGACGGGTCCTAGCTATTACTCTCACTTATAGAGTTTTCTCGCTTATCCAGTTCTCGCTTACCCAGGTTTGACTGTATATAGATGCAAGTATCATAACTATCTCCTATTGCATGGTAATGAATAGTATCATTTAATTTTTAACACGAAAAAATATTCTTAAAAATAATTAAAAATCACTAAAATTTCAATGTGCTTGTTAATATTCAATATCATTAAAAATAACTGAATTTATTAAAATCGCGTTAATCGTACGTTAACGACTAATTGGCCGTTTCATTCAATTCACTGACATTTTTTTGTTGAAATATTGTTGAAGTTTGTTGAAGTTTTCAATATTTTTTTGATCTTCTTATGAAATAATTAGACAGTATAAACGCACTTGTAAACAAAACACTAGTAAATATGGCCATTGCCAGCTGACTGACAAAACCGGCGCATGCGCAATGTAGGCGTGAGGTGATGGTTTGCTAGTTATAAAATAATTAATAATTGGGAATTTAATTGTTTTTATGATCGAACAATCACCAATAGTCGTCGAACAAACGATAATTGATCAAAATGAATTAATCTCAGCGATAAAAATAAAGATATCTAGTAAGGTGGGGCAACGTACGGGTGATTATTTGTTTAATTAATTATAAATAAATAAAAGGCGAACAAGCAATTTTACATCTGAACATTAACGAACAAATGAAGAACAAATAATAAAAAATAATAAAAAGGTGGCGTGAGGTGATGGTTTGCTTCTGTAGGTGGCGACCTCCCCCCGGTGAAGGTCAAGGGGCGACCTGAGGGGGTGAGGCCGCGCGGCGCGCTACCAGCACTCTAGCGCGCTGCCGTGGAGTGAATAGAGCGACCGGTCGACGGTGTATCGCGTCCCGACCCGGCAGGCTGGTTCTGGTCCAGCGGGGTATTCCGGGACACCAGCGGCACCGTCTGGGCGGCCCGACGGGCTGCCGTACCGAGACGGCCGACGTTTCAGAGCCTTCGATTCGCCTCGAAGGCTCCGTCGGCTGGGCGTCCTTGGGGTGAGCCGCGCCGTCTGGTTGTAGTGTTGACCGCGGTAGCCCCCCTACCTCATCCGGGTTCTGACCTCGGAGGGGATCGGACGTCGGGTGTAAGAGTGCAGGGGAGTCGTTTAGTGGGTGGGTCCTAAAATCCTTGGGCCCGCGGTCTGCTCACAACACCATGCAGACCGTTGAGTCTCACATACCCCGCGCGCCCCTTTTGCGCGGGGACCTCGTAGGAGGTTCGGCCCTCTACCAGAAAAAAAAAAAAAAAAAGGTGATGGTTTGCTTATTAGATATAAAATAATTAATAATTGGGAATTTAATTGTTTTTATGATCGAACAATCACCAATAGTCATCGAACAAACGATAGTTGATCAAAATAAATTAATTTGAGCGATAAAAATAAATATATCTAGTAAAGGGGCCCACTTAACGGTAATCATTTGTTTAATTAATTATAAATAAATAAAAGGCAGTAACAACATTAATGTTTTAACGAACATTAACGAACAAACGACGAACAAATAATAAAAAATTAAAAAAATCTTACAATCAAAAAAAGGGGTGCCAAATTTACAGAGCCTTACTAAGCTAACAAGATTAAAGCAGGGGCGAGCAACCTTTTTAATCAATGGCCCAATTTTATTTTATTTTAGCGTGTCTCACATATTATTAAGTTAACTCTTATTAATAATTTACGAAACTTTATTTATAATAAATATTAGAATAAAAAAATATAAAACTGAAAAAAAAGATTTCATATTATACAAATTTTAATGTAAGATAAAAACAAACTAAAAAAGAACAGAAAAACAAACAGAAATGAGAAACTCGATAAAATAAATTCAATTTTAGAAACGTTTGACGGGCCGCGTGTTGATCATCCTTGGAGTAAATCAATTCAAATAGCTTTTGGCATTTCAGCTAACATGCCCTGTTTTGTTTCGGAAAAAATCCGGGCTCAAGTCTATTAGCCGTCTTTTCTCTCAGTGCAACAATGTGTCAGGATACCCAATTTGGAAAATTTACCCATATTTTTTATTTTGCTCGTTGGGCACAGCGTGACATAAGCTCGCAACAGGAGGGGGGCACACTGTGTCCTCGTCACATAAATCGATACCGACGAGTCGTGGCGGGCGATGCTCGACTTCTGTGACTGTACCATTTTGCAGAAAGAGAGCGTGTGAGAAAGTGAGAGAGAGCGCTCTTGGATTTCTGTACCAAACGACTGATGCCGAGGCGGTTTTCGGATTAAGGGCCTCATCCGAATCCTGGCCCCTGGGTTACGGAATATAATAAATATGATGTGTGCTTACTAACATTGTGAAAGTTTCGCAGCCATCTCCATAAAGAGAATGTATTTTCTTGGCTCTGTATTGTCTCATTATTTGGACATTGAATTTCACCATCTTCATCTTTGCAAATTATCATTTGTCCTATTGTTCCGTCCTAGACCAGAAACACATAAAGTTTACGAGTTTCTTTATTTATATACAAGTACACTTTGAAACAAATCTAAAAAAAAATTAAATAGAATAATTTCTTAGATTTAGTGAAATTTACGATGTTCTTTCGTTTATTGATTCTACATAAGTCAATTCAGTTACTTCTTATCACAGGAGAGTGATTACCATCGTTTCGCTGTCAGACATCGTAATGCTTAATGATAGCCAATTGGCAACGCCAAAATTCTAAGTAGGTACTTTCGAAATATTTATCATTTTGGTTACTTCTATACTTACTGGACGGAGACATGATATCGTTTCCTGGGTGACAGCTGCATCAACGAATGGAAGTCTATCATACAATTTTCTTAATTGGTTAATGTTAAAAAAAATTAAAATATCGTCAAAATTTAGCATAATTTTTAACAAAATCTTGTAAATATTTGACAAATAGAATATATGTTAAAATGTTATAATTTATAATATAAAAATCTAATAGGCTGTGTTTGGTAACAGTAAGCAGTAAATAACACAAATAGGTGCTACTGAGCTTTTCGTTGCTTAAGCTCTTGTTTGAACATCTGTAACAATCTTTAAATACTACTACATATTATAATTATTTTATTACTATATTACTACTACTACTACTATTGTTAAAAATAAACAAATTTTGATGGAATAAAAATCATTTATTATCATTAGAATAAACCTAATGTAATGACAAAGAGAAGTTCGACAATTACCCTGAATCGCGCTAAAGGTGATTTCAATGAAATTTGCATACTCGTATAGATACTTGGTAATATTATTCCACTTCGATAAAGCGGCACGACACGAGAACCCTCTCATCGTGGCCGCCGGTAACTACATTCCCGATCCTGCGGAAAGAGTGGAAAGCAGTCGACGTCGCCCCAAACACGTCATCTCGGATCCTCCCGATCCACTGACGGTGCTTCTAGGTACTTTAAGCACCGGTCACCGTTCTCGTCGAACCCGTCGTTTGCGACGAAGGGCTCTACGAGTAAATTAACTCTCAGACACAGCCCACTGAGTTTCTCGCCGGATCTTCTCAGTGGGTCGCGTTTCCGATCCGGTGGTAGATTCAGCGAAGCACGGCTCTTGCTAGGGTTCGTGTTAGCAACGTCGTCAGGTTTGAGCCCCGTGAGCTCACCTACTGGTTAAGGTTACGCTGGAATAGCCTCTCAAGCTGGTAGAGCTTAGGTAGGAAATTCGTGTCCAAGTTCCAAAGTAGGTTTATTTTTATTTTTTTATTGCTTAATTGGGTGGGCGAGCTCACAGCCCACCTGGTGCTAAGTGGTTACTGAAGCCCATAGACATCCACAACGTAAATGCGCCACCCACCTTGAGATATAAGTTGTAAGGTCTCATGTATAGTTACAACGGCTGCCCCACCCTTCAAACCGAAATGCATTACTGCTTCACGACAGAAATAGGCAGGGTGGTGGTACCCACCCGCGCGGACTCACAAGAGGTCCTAACATCAGTAATTACGCAAATTATAATTTTTCGGGTTTCATTTTTATTACACGATGTTATTCCTTCACCGTGGAATTCAATCGTGAACATTTGGTATTCGTTTCGTCGGTCTATCTACCAAAAGACCCACTCAATTTTCGAGTTTCCTAGGTCGTAAAAAAAGGATAATAATGCTGATTTCTTAGACAAGATTCAATAAATCAACATTCAAAATAATAAAAGAAATCGTAACGAATCATTTTTTACGAACTCGCAACCGTTTTGTTGCTTACTTGAGCCTATAGATAATATAATAACACGAACACCATTCACTTTGAGACATGTGATCCAAGCAGTGGCGTAGTTAAGTAACCAAGGGCCCTGGGGCAAATTAAAAAATGGGGCCCCAATTGCTATGTAAACTGATTAGGTTTTATCAAATAAAAATATGAAATATACAAATACTTTAAAAATGCTAAGCTACTTTTTTAATTGCTTAGATGCGTGGACGAGCTCACAGGCCACCTGGTGTTAAGTGGTTACTGGAGCCCATAGACATCTACAACATACATGCGCCACCCACCTTGAGATATGAGTTCTAAGGTATCAAGTATAGTTACAACGGCTGCCCCACCCTTCAAACCGAAACGCATTACTGCTTCACGGCAGAAATAGGCAGGGTGGTGGTACCTACCCGCGCGGACTCACAAGAGGTCCTACCACGAGTAAGCTCTTTTTTGTGCACTGCAGGGCAGGTAATAAAAATATTAAGCAGTAACAACATAAATTACAATTAATACTTGGTGTAGGTTTGGCTAATAAAATAAAATAGAGAAGATTCAAGGGTTTATTATATAAAGGTCGGGCCTTTTTTTTCGGGCTGGGGGCCGAACCTCCTACGGGGTCTCCGGGCCTAGGAGGCGCGCGTGGTATGTGGGACTGGTCCACGACTGCGAGACCGCGAGCCCAAGGATGTTTTCAGGACCCTATCCGCTAAACAACTCCCCTGCACTCTTCGCCCAAGCGTCCGATCCCCTCCGAGGTCAGAACCCGGATGAGGTAAGGGGGTTATCGCAGTCAGCACTATAATCAGACGGCGCAGCTCACCCCAAGGACGCCCGGCCGACGGAATCTTCGACGCGAATCGAAAGCTCTGAAACGTTGGCCGTCTCGGTACGGCAGCCCGTCAGGCCGCCCAGACGATGCCGCTGATGTCCCGGAATACCCCGCTGGACCAGAACCAGCCTGCCGGGTCGGGACGCGATACACCGCGTCGGTGCATCGTATCTCCTTAGCGGCGCGCTAGAGTGCAGGTAGCGCGTCGCGCGGCCTCTACGGGCTTACTTACTCCTGATACAGTATAAATTTTTTAACCGTTCTCGAAAAAAAAATCTTAACTCGAATTCACAATAAAACGCACCTCGATGAATATTAAACGCACATATCACTATCCGTCAAATTGATAACACTGCTTACCTACAGAAAGAATTTAAGGGAATTCCCTAGGCATAACTTTTGAATTTCTCTCAACTGAGTTGTCATGATTAAAGTGGGGTTGCAACCTGTCATATTTATTTTGAAATAGGAGAAATTTCCAAAAGTTCAGTTCGATCGAGAGTTCTGGTAAGGATTCGAGGGCCCCCTGAGCTTGAGGGCCCCGGGGCACTGCCCCGCCTAGCCCCTAGGTAGCTATGCCACTTCATCCAAGTCTCGAGTGTATAATATAACAGAAAGAAGGTATAAGAAGAAAGGTAGGATATTTGAAAAGGGCACGCATAACTACTGTGCGACAGATATCGGCAGGGTGATGGTGACTACCCGTTCGGGCTTACAATACATTTAAATACGATAATTAATGACGTTCTCAAATCCATATTATTATTAAAAGTACACGACTCACGAGACCCGAATTATCTTTGGCTGACTGAAAATCATCATTGTCAACACATAACCTCGGAAAGCTGCCAAATTTCAAACATAAGTAGTTGCAAAAAAAGAATTTAAAACACCTCGAAAGCACCTAGTGTATTGTTTTTTTTATTTATTTTTTTATTCTTACGTGGGTGGACGAACCCACGGCCCACCTGGTGTTAAGTGGTTACTGGAGCCCATAGACATCTACAACGTAAATGCCGCCACCCACGTTGAGATATAAGTTCTAAGGTCTCAGTATAGTTACAACGGCTGCGCCACCCTTCAAATCGAAACGCATTACTACTTCGCGGCAGAAATAAGCAGGGTGGTGGTACCTACCCGTGCGGACTCACAAGAGGTCCTACCACCGGCAAACTTTGTATGAGTAGGTAAACTAGCTTTAGGCTATATCTCTGATACGCTCACCCGTTAATAGTATGATTATCACACATTGATTTTATTTACACAATATATATGGACATGTAATGTAAATATAGTATTATTTACATTACTACAAAAAAATTATGAACTTAATTCTACATATATTTAAGATATAAAAAACTACCCAGCCTCTTTATTCATCTTCTTTTAAAATAATATAAAAGAAGAAATTCAGTGGAATTATTAGTAAATCAGTTAATGTCACGCCAGATGCGTTCTACATTTCAGTCTTTCATCACTATAAACGTGGAATGGTTCTGGCATTTCCGACAGCTATATGTAGGTCACGATTGTTCTGAAAATTTACTCGTTCACCCAAACCAGAAATTCGAAATGAACCCTTATTTATTTATTTATCGTATGGCATTTGTTTACACTGCGTGGTTTTAATTTAAATTTACAGTTTGTGAAATAATCGATAGATTTTTCTGTTACATTTTTGAGATCTTCCACTTGGCCTGCGAATTTCGTTAGTGGGCATTCCATGACAATGTGGCGTACAGTTTGCTCTGGGCATCCGCAATCCGCATTCACAGCATTCGTTTTCCGTCCAGCCCCATCTCTTCCGCAGTTGGTTACAGTGACCAACTCCCGTTCTCAGGTGGTTAAGCATGCACCAGATTGGGCGTTTTTCTTTGAAACCAGGTGGGCGGGAGTGTGGATTCAGCTCGAACAGTTCAGGTGGGATACATCTGGCTGACCATTCTTTAAATATATAAATAAATTAAACAACAATAACATTTTAAGTACCGATGGCTGAAGTACTGTATTGTTATTTTAAAACACAATTACGTTTTAAGGTTTTCACTACGTGAAGTTTATAGGCGATAACATAATGATTTACAAAATATAAGCCCAAATCGGACGTTACGGGAGTTTGACCGGCCAAATTCTCGAACAGTCTGATCTTATAATAGATACTAAAGTCGCTCAGACGCAAAGTCTCAGACGTTTAGATCTTACTCCACAAGATCCTTGTGTGCTCGGGATTTCTTGAATAATTACATTGAAAATGTGCAGTGACATTAGTCATTATACTATACAGCAAAACGATAAATACGGACGATATTTAGAAGCGAGTAGAGATTTGGATGCCGGCGAATTGATATTTTGTGATACACCGTTTGCCGTTGGACCAAAACCAGGTAAATGCTTACTTCTAACTATATACTATCTACCTACTTAATTTGAAACCATTCAACAAAACGGTGATAGGCCAAATCTGAGCTCACAACATAAATAAGGTCTCGCCTCTTTCTACCGCGAAGCAATGTTGCAGTTTGAAGGGTAGGGGTACCGTTACAACGATTCCTTTGAAATTATAAACAATTCGATCTTATGTCTCAAAATAGGTTACGCCATTTATTTTGTAAATAGTTGAACTACTTAACCCTAGCTACATGAAATCCCGTCTGTTTTAACAGCAGCAAAAAAATTACTCCAAGCATATACCTCTAATAAATTAAGTGACCCCGCCCACGACACCGAGGAGTCCGGTCTCGATTCGCAGTACCGAGTATAGTTGTAAAAGATATTTAGTATTCGGTGTCAGGTGTACTTCTCTTGTATGCGTGATTCCGATACTCATAACACGTCCGCTCACTAATAGTTTTGTTTTGTCTAATTCAGATACTCCACCACTTTGTCTTGGCTGCTACGTTCCGGTAGACAACACACTGTGTTCGCGATGCGGCTGGCCGATATGTAGCGTGGAATGCGAAAGTTCGTCGCAACACGTTGCTGAATGCGCTGTCTTCGCAACAGCCAAAGTCCGTTTTCAACCTGTCGATGACTGGACTACTTGTGCGCCTCAACTGGACTGTATCACACCATTGAGGTTATAAGGACATGTCATATATTTTTTTAAATAATGAATTAAAACTTCAGAATTGGTAGTTGGGTATTTTGTGAGCCAGCAACGCTATGTACCACTACGCTGCGTATTCCTTCCATGAAGCTGCAATGCGTTTTGGTTTGAAGGGTGGAGCAGCCTTTGTACTGAAAAAACTGAGACTCATTTCTCCAAAAGTTGGGGGAGTTAAGTTATTGATGTCCATAGTAACTACTCTTGTAACTACTTAGCTTCGAATAGGCTTTGAGCTGGTCCCTCCATCAAAGCAATAAAAAAACTTACACTAAAGAATTAAGAACCGTTAATTAAGCATGAACCTAAATCATTTAAAGACCTCAAAAAGTTTTTTTTACTTTTTAATGCATTAGATAGGTGAATGAACTCATGGCACAGTTGGTAAACTGATGATAAGCGTATGAATCCATAGCCAGTACCTAAGGGTGAGTTTTTGTTAGTATGTTGCCTCCATGGAAGTGGCTTTGCTCCAATATACAAGAACAGCTCTCAGGCCATAAGCTCTCCACCCGTAAGGTGCCTAATGTATCATTTTCTGTTTTAAATTTATAATAATCATATACAAATCGCTTGTACATTTTAGGGTTCTGTTAGCGAAAGAAAAAGATCCTCACAGATGGCAGTATGAGCTAGAGCCGATGGAAACCCATACTGAGGCACGACAAAAGAAACAAACGTGGTCTGCAGACCAAGTCAATGTCGTCAACTTCCTGGTCGATCATTGCAAGCTAGGAAACAAATTCGATAAAGAATTAGTACAAAAAGTTTGTGGCATTCTTGAGGTAAGTGCTTTACTTTATAAAATACTTTTTTACTACATACGGCTTACTTTAAAAATGTCGTAAGATTAAACAAGGACAGTTTTTTTTTTTTTATTGCTTAGATGGGTGGACGAGCTCACATGCCACCTGATGTTAAGTGGTTACTGGAGCCCATAGACATCTACAACGTAAATGCGCCACCCACCTTGAGATATATCTAAGTTCTAAGGTCTCAAGTATAGTTACAACGGCTGCCCCACCCTTCAAACCGAAACGCATTACTGCTTCACGGCAGAAATAGGCAGAGTGGTGGTACCTACCCGCGCGGACTCTCAAGAGGTCCTACCACCAGTAAAGTAACAGTTATGGACATGACATTTTAAGCGTCAGTGTAATGCAGTAAATCTCGCTCTTCGATAAAAAATCCAGTAAATGATGGTATGTTGTTATTAATTATAAAAACGATATAGTATTTTATTTAAATAGGTAATATTTTTACCTGTTACAAATTAATTACCTATTATTCGAATCGAAAATCCATTGGTTTTTTTTATATATTACATAAAAATATGGTATACCTGCCTCTTTTTGATTACATGTTATTTTAAGCATAACGAGAAGAAGAACCATTACAATATCTATAGGGTTATAGTATGAAATTGCCGATTTGTACTGAAAAACTGAAACTTTTTTTTTCATTTGACATATATATTTAATCAAAATATCTACCATTATTATCATTGCTGCCACCTAATAGGAAGGTCATTTATGCGAAGGTCCTTTGCGATAGAACTCTGGTGATGTAGATACTACAAACTGTGTGAAAGCATTTTGTACTGCTCCCTGGGAAGAAAACTTTTTATCACGTAGAAAATTGTCCAAATCACGAAAAAAATGGCAGTCCACGTGGTTCGTTCTTCAAATCAAAATTTCCATCACGAAAGCGTTTAAACAAAAATCGCACGGTGCGTTCATTAGCAGTCTCCTCTCCAAACGCAACATTGATATTGCGAGCTGTTTTTGCAGCGATAGTTCCGCGTCGGAACTCATACTCAAAAATCACTCAAATTTTCGAAGTATCCATCTTTCTTTTCTAAGTTGAATAAAAAAAAACAACTAAAAGTCGATAAACGAATGTTGCATATTTTTTAAACGAAGAACCTCATAGGTACCATTTGAAAAAAGTTTCACTCAAAAATCTCAAACAATGAAGGTTCTATGTCAGTTCGAAGTACCTATTACAAAACGGCGATTTCATACATCGACCCCTATTGTTTATCTTGAAAGTTAATTCTATATACAGAACCCTTCACAATACAGTCATATTCATGCAAAAAATACATTTCCATTTATTTGATAATTGAACATCGTATTCCTTTTCTTAAATAGGTAAATTCAGTTGAGGTTCCATCACATGGAGGCTTCAGTATTCGTGCTATATATCCTCGATTAGCTATCACAGCACACAGCTGTGTTCCAAATATAGTTCATACCGTACTTAGCAATGACTACCGGTGAGTTTCAGGGTACTTTTTCAATTAATTCATTTTACTTTTATGCATTTATAGATTCGATACAATAATAGTAATCCATTACATTAATAATTGTCTCAGATAAATATTTGTAAATATGTATTTTTGTGCTCCTAATCGTAATAGACATTATAAATGCTTATTCCGTGCGGTGCGATTCTCGAACGACTTAATGAACTATTACCATTACCTACGTTATATACTTTGTATACCCATTTTACAGAGTTCAGGTCAGGGCAGCTATTCCTATAAAATCCGGGGAAAACTTGTATTTATGTTACACATATGCTCTGTCTCCAACTTTAGTGCGAAGAGAATTCCTTGTTGAATCAAAGTTTTTTTACTGCGACTGTCATCGTTGCGCTGATCCAACGGAGCTCAATACACATCTTAGCACACTCAAATGTAGCAAGTGTGACGACGGGGTTATATTGCCAACAAATCCTCTAGGTAAATAGTCGCAGATAAGTTTAGTGATACATGATAAGATTTTATACACTTAGTTATGGTCATGAATTTTAAATTCAATTCTTAATTTTTTGTTGCTTAGACGGGTAAACGACCTCAAAGCTTATCTGGTAGTAAGGGATTACTGGAGTCCGTAGATATTACTGCGTTAATACTGCCACCCACCTTGAGACATGAGGTCTAAGCTTCATTGTATAGTATAAAGTCTGTCCCACTCGTCACCTCCGAATACATTACTGCTTCCCCGCAGATATAGACAAAGTAGCGGTACCTAGCGCGCAGGCTTACAAGACGCTGTATCACTGGTAACATTAACCACATCTTACTTTAACTAAGGCACACACAAAAAAAATCTACTGTATTAACTGGCTATATTTAATGAGCAAAGGTATTAAGACTGTCACTAAATATTCCAGAAAACGAAACAATGTGGATGTGTTCAGATAAAAACTGTGGCTTTAAGACATCTAGTGCCGCCATCCGTAAGATGTTAGCCGTCGTTCAAGCTGAGACAGAACAGTTGGACGCTCTAGAACCTGGCCCAGCAGCGATCGAACAACGAGAAGCAACAATTAAAAAGGTTTACTTTGAATTTCAGTGTTTCTAGTTTGAACTCCGTGAGCTCACCTACTTAATAGGTTACGCTGACATATCCTCTCAAGGCTAACAGATGAGAGAGAAAAAAAAAGTGTTTGTAGCTTGACTCCTCTTCTCTCTCTCTTCGATCGGTCCCTCACTGCTGAGGATCGTGACTCCGTCCGATTTCTTCAACCAACTGTCTCCATCGATCCCGCCCTGCAGCCCGGTGGAGTGCGTCGCTGATAGGTTTCCCCAGTTCCTCCGCTATTTGGTCCGACCATCGTTTGGGACCTCTACCCCTCTTATCTGACTTAAAAAAAGTGTTTGTAGCTTGACTCCTCTTATCTGTTGTCTTTAATTATTACTCATGATATCAAACTATTTATAGGCCATAGATAATGCCTTATTACGTGTACATAAGAACGTGTTTTTTTTTTGTAAATAAGTCGGTAAGATATTGTTATTACGATAAATAAAAAATATCACTCAACTGTAATCTCAAAGAATTCACTTGTGGATTTTTTTGGCAAAAAAAAGCATTTAAATATAAATTTATTATACAAAGTTGAAATCCACGTGATCCATAAGACTTTATGACCGTTAATTTGAAACAATTTAATACTAAAGTTGGTAAACAGTCACGATATCTCAATTACATTGAAGTATTTGCTCTACCTTTAAAGCTTTTTAATTACTAGAGTATACGTTCGATACGGTTTCACCCGATGTTAATTGGTTAACGAATTTCATAGACATTGCAATGTGAAAACCATCGCCCTCCTTGGGACTCACATCAAGAAGGTTAATGAGGCGAAGAAGGAAGCTTCTTGGTACACGGACTTCGGACCAAAACACGCAAATGCTACGCTGCGGAAAATTAGGATCTTGCTACCCACCTTGCTGGCTTATAAATACAATCTACAATCCGAAAAATTAACAGAAGATACTATGTCCATACCGAAACCAACATTTTATAATTGCTGTAGGTAATAACACAATCCATTATATGAATTTTAGTAGCACCTAACTCAAAAAACGAATACCAACAAGTAATTTGGACAATCGATTTTTATTAGATAACTATTCTATTATAATGGATTAGGTACTACATTTATTATTATCATTTACGTATATTAAGTAAACCTAGGAAGAATTTGAAAGGAATCAAAGAGAGCATGTGAAGTAGGATGTAGTAGTACCTAGCCAGAGATGTATTTTGTAGCTGCATAACCGTATCGGAATCTGATAATGAATATAATATCCAGATACATTTTAGGAGGAATCCTGTAAGATTATCTGATCAACGAATGTTTTGCTTTGTGTGCATAAGTAGACAGTGCAATATGTAAACCTTAGTTATTAAACAGGTTTACAAACGATAACGCGATTAGTAAGTAGAACTTGTATGCACATTTTATGGCTTTGAATTTATTACTCTAATCAAGCGAGTCTAATCAAATCTATAATTTGGATCGCAGGTACTAAATGAACTTACTTGTAGTTATAATTCCCTTTAAATTAAAGTAAAGAAAAAATAGCTTCTAAACCGTTTGTTGCAGTACAAGTCGGTCTTCCACCCCCGACACTCGATTCTTCTTTCATTAAAGCACTCCTTAGCGCAATTATATGGTCGAGTGGAAGGATATAACATTGATGAGCTACCCGACGTTTTGCTTGAAAGGAAAGTAGAATTATGTCGACTTGTTCTCAAAACCTTGGACGTTATAACGCCGGGAGAAACTAGGATGAGAGGTACGTTCAGTATTTTAAATGCTAAAATACATATATGTATATATGGTATATACTCCATGGTAAGTTTAACACTTTATTGTATAAAAAAAAAATATCTTTTCAGTACCTTCATATCTACAGTCCGTGTTTTTCCGCAATAAACGTAATTCCATGTGCCGATTTTTATCGCGCTTGCTTACTCCCGATCGTATTCAAGGGCGAATTCATTAAATTCGAATTCTTCACAATGCAAATTTATAATTTCCGATATGGGGAGCTCACACATCAACGGGTTTTTACTCAGTAAATTGACGCCAATGTTACGTATGTTTGGGATTTTCTTAACTACTTAATGGGCAACCAGAACACCAATAAGCTATCTAAAAGCTAGTTTTATGAAATCGTGAAACAAAAACGATCATAATTGGCCCCACTGTGTGGTGTAAGACCTGTCTCATATTGCGACATCTTGAAATGAGTTTTAGCTAGATTCAGGTTTCTGCCATTCTGCAAAATAGCGATATAAGTTGCTACAGTAACTCTTACCAAAAGAATGCTAAATATTCAGAATTTGATTCCTAGGTATGATGCTGTATGAGTTACATGCGCCACTAATGTTTTTGGCAAGAAACGAATACGGGGCTGGTTTGATTACCTCGGATCAACTGAAAGAGAAATTGCAAGAACCAATTAGATGTCTAGCGGATTCTGCAAGGATTCTACAGCGTGAAGATCCTCACAGTCCTGAAGGCATTACTGGACAAATAGCACAACAATCTATGGAACAACTAATAGCCAGTCTTGAGTCATTGTAACTTTAATTGGCGTTTTTGTGTCCTATTTCGTTAAATTTCACCTGATAAGCATCAAGGTACAATCGTAGGTCTTAATTGTTGTAATAAATATTATGTACTAGCGACCCACCCCAGCTCCACACGGTCGAATCAGTTTATTGTGCAGAAATTACCTAAATTATATGTAATTAAAACAACCCTTTTTACAAATTATTTTCAGTATGTATTTTTCCTCTTAAAATCGGAAATAGCCCGCCATATGTATAGGTATACCTCATATTTCACTCCACACTACTTTTATACATCAAAAAGAAAAAATCGACTTGCTGTTTTGATTGATTTGATGGACATTCTACTTTTTTATTCCGCCTTTAACAAAATATTACATCGAGATTTATCAATTTTAACATAATTAAGTAACAGTACCAGTCTTTACCACTTTGTGATTAAAGGTCAAATTTGTTTATGGTTAAGTTTAAAATGGCATCTAAATTTTGACTTGCGTGCGGATTTATTGCGTTTCCATCCGGTTTCCCTTGATAAAGATCTTCTTTTATGAGTACTCACAGTGATATCTCCATACCTATTTCTATCAATACGACGCTTGAAAGGCAAACATGACTAAGCGACAATAACTGCTTTGTACATAAATGATAGGCAATAATCATATTCGATGCGCAAAAAAAATATATTTCTAGGTCTATTAAAATAATTTCAATCCTATAGCTAGATTCGTTAAAATAATTTTTTTTCAGGTGTTTTTCAGGTATATTTTAAATTAATTTCAACTTTAAATTATTCTTCTGTAAAGTTCACGCATTGTCGCTTAGTCATGTTTGCCTTTCAAGCGTCGAATAGATCTCGTTTCTTATAATTATTATTATGGTTTATCAGTCGAACAGTTTCTATTTAATAACTATATTTATAGTTACATAAAAGTTTCGTTTTAAACTACATGTTGTACACATAATATAGGTATTGTATTTAATGTTTATATTAAGTTAACTGCTTTAACTACTCATTATTTCCGCCATTACCAATAAAATTACCACGCACACAACGGGACCCTGCGTATCCCCAGTGGTACGCTTACCATAGATGGGGAATCGCTGCTCTAGAGCAATAAAAGATAACTTGTGATGCTCTACTTATTGTGATTATTTTTTGGCACAATTGAATACCACATTTACTTGTGAAATTAGTAATAAAATTTCTAAAAGACAATAAACTGATCTCTTGAAACAAATTCATTAGGTATTTATTATAATATGAAAATATGTACATGTTTTAAAATGTAATTTTCTTGGGTTTCTTAAGTGTGTCAACGGCAGCAGGCTTTTTTTGTCTTTCCATTATCTCTTCAACATTATCAGCAGTATCCAATGTCTGTAATTTTACTGCAGTCTCTTCTTTCTGGTTATTCATCTGTAACATTACAATTATAAACAATATATTATGTCGTAAAATGGGAGACAAAGCCAGCATGCTTATTTTAGAATATACGGAAATGACATGAATTGTTATTATGTACTTATGAAATTTTTCTTATTTTTTTGTAGAAGTGAATATTGAAACTTTTTTAACCAGTAAGCCTACAAAGATATTACTTACATACGTCAGTAATTACATTTCTACTATATATATATATTTTTTATTTATTTATTTAGAACATAAATCATATGTACGATAGGATAATTTTAGAAAATAAAAATTATTATAAAAAGCATGTTAGATTTTACATAGTGATTTATATGGTGCAAGCCGATTAAGTACTCCCTATAAAAATATTTGTTATCTGAATAGTTTACTATAAATACTATTGATAGTTACTTATAATTGTTTAGTTACTATTAAATGTTTAGACGTTACATTTGCTTACTTGAATTTTTAACATAAAGAGAATAATTTGCTTACCGTAGGGCAATCCTTTTTCATATGAGTAACATCACCACAGATCTTACAGCAACCACCATTAGGATATAAGCCTTTTGGATTATCAGGGCATTGTCTAGCAATGTGTCCCTGAAACATGAGTGAAACTTTCTTAGTTCTTATTCTATCATACATTTCATAATTACCATACCAATAAAGATTATTGTCATAATTATAGTCAATTGTTATAATTTTTTAAAAATCTTCTGCATTCTCATAAATACATCCAAACAGTGTAGTTTGGTTTTTCATAACTTATGTTGACAGACAAGAGAATCATGGTAGATTATAATAATATAATAGGTTCCAAGGTAAACTATGTGTGAGGTACAGAGAGCAGAGTCCTGGACCTTCAATAAAAAGTAAGAAAATTATTAATACTTAATAAACATAACATAAAGAATTCGTAAATGCTACTCTATTTTTTCTTAGTCCTCAAGAAATCATACAAATCATTAATGTATAGCCTGAGTCAAAAATAATTATATTGTGTACAAAAAAAATTAAGATTAATAAGTAAAATCATATTAGCTTAAATAAGAGACCTATGTTTTTCTAGGACTTTACCTGTTCTTTACAAATGAAGCATGTTGCAAATCTGAATTCCTTGTCCCTTTGAACTTTGCATTCAAACTGTTTATGCTCTGTTGAGCCGCATTTGAAACAAATACCATCTCCAGCGTCAACTCCCGGTATAACGGACTTTAAATCTGGGCAATCTGAAAGGTTATGGCCACCTTTCCTACAATTATAACAAACTTCTCGCTTCACACGGGCCAACGCCTTTTCTGCTCTTCTTCTTTCCAATTTCATAGTTCTCTGCACTTCACTTTTAGGAATCCCCTTCTTGATCATATTGGCCTTTAATTCTTGTAAACGTTCAGCATCTTTCTTCATAACAGGAAAACCATCATAACGAATTAGCTCAACGTCTTTACCATTAATTATTATTTGGAAGCTATCGTCTATCGGTTTCCTACGGACTGGTTGCCCATTAATAAAGTTTTTCTTTTTTCTTTCCTTTGGTCTATTGACAGTTTTGTTGTTTTCAGTTTGATTATTTTGTTTATTACTTTGTTTTGCATTGTCATTCTGCAATTTTTGTTGGTTGTTTTTAAAGTTTTCTTTTTTTTTCTTAGATATAGGAATTTCAGTTGCTTGTGAAACATCAGACTCGTTGTGGTTTACATATTCAGAGACTTGAACAGCATGCTTGTTTATGGACTCATTTTTTTTATTCTTTGTTTTTTTATTTTTTTTCTGTTCAGCTGTCTTCTCTTGATCATCTAATCTAAGATTTTCTTCAGTAACAGGAGGATAAGAACTATTTTGTTTCCTTTTCTTTTTTTTACTAGGACTTGTTTGCTTGTTGGTTGTAGTCTGTGTGGTTTCTTCAAATTCACACCATGTGGCTGTTCGTTTTTGAGTTTTGTGTTCCTTAAGGAAATTCTCATAATTCTCAATACGTTTCTTTTCAGCCTAGAAAAAAATATTACGTGTATATTAATAGTGAACGGATATATTACGTAGAACTAAAATTTATTTGTAACCTATTGAGTATTGTTTGTATGGTAGTATCTATTTACGAAATACATCTGTCTTACGTCAAACATAATAATCTGCAATGTGTAGAAACGGTTATGTGTTTTCATTATTGGACATTATTGGATTCTTCAGTTACATGTTGTGCTGATTAAAAATAATAAATAATAACCTGTTCTCGTTTTTCAGCGTCTTCGTTTTGTTGTTTAGATTTCATTAACTGTTCCTTCATTACTTCCCAAGGAGTTCCATCTTCCGGTGTTTTCTCATTAGATGATTTGGAGCCTTTTGCCCGCGTGAATCTTGTCATTTTGGAAACGACTATACGCTGATATTATACCGAAATATCTACCAGCGATAATTATTTATTCTAACCTTAAACTGTAAATGAATTTACCCTGCGAGCTGCGCTGAAGTGCGCTGTTTACTTTTCTCAATTTTTTTTTCTTCTTCTTCTTCGATTTATTAATTAAACGGGCAAAGGGAGCATAGTTCTTACATCTTAAAGATAAAAAAAGCTGTTATCATATTACAAAGGAAATGAAAAGAAACGGAATAAATTGTCATTAATTTCACTGAATTAATTTAATTATTTTATTTAACTTAATTTCAACACCAACTCGCTATTGATTCATTTCACTCTTGAATTATATTTCATTCCTTTCTATTTTATTTTTCGAACAACAATGTGGATTCGGCTGAGAAAGAGTTAATGGGCTTTTTTCCCTTTGCTTAGGAAACATAGATTAAACACAAATAAATTTGAGCTAAATAATGAGGTTAAAAGAAAATTAAACTGTTGATTGTGTTGAAATTAGGAAATATTTAATTAAATATAAATATATTATTCATAATTACATTTGTTTTTAAACCCAAGGTGTAAAGTTATTAATAAAAATACGCACATATGTGATATAAAAATATAAAATAGTTTTAAAATTCGTCTCACAACATTTTTAATTCTGCAGTGTAAATAATTAGCCCAAAAGCTGTCTTCTATCAAACTCAAGAGGTCAAGAAATCAACAGATCAAGTACTATTAAATAGAAGAGTTTTAGAAATGTATGTAACATTACTATTTTTGTTCCGACCTTTATTTACTTTCAGATTCTCGTCATCGATGTTAAACACATATTAATTTACTCAAGAGTCTTACTCGTAGATACGATTCGTTTATGCTCAGATGTAGACGATGTTACTCACGTCCTATGATGTTAAGCGTATCCTGGAGCTTTAACACTACATCTCTGAACTTTTTACTTTCTTTGATAAAAATTACTAATAATCGAAACGAAAAGCGCCGTCAGATTTATTCATATAATAAAACGATCGAGTCTATTAACGTTTCATTAAAATCATAAAATACATATAATTAATAACTAAGTTGTAAATAGTTTAAATTTTCTACTGATTGAGTGATTGTAAAATAAAAATAAAGATGCATGCAATTTTTCAAGTAAAATGTAGGATGTCAGTCTCCAAGATGGGTAGTACGCAGCGGCTTGACTCTGTCCCTGGCATTGCTGAAGTCCATGGGCGACGGTAACCACTCACCATCAGATGGGCCGTAAGCTCGTTTGCCTACAAGGGCAATAAAAAAAAATATAATAACAAGTTTCCACATGTCTCATTTAATTTCCTTAAGGAGTGGATCCATGATTTAAATTCCAGTTTTATTAATGACACATACACAATAAGTTAATTGAGTATTCAAAGTCAAATTAACGGCATGCTAACATTGTTTGCATATGTGACCAATAAATCTGATGGTGTAGTAAAAATCCTAGCTTTGTCCAGATTCAGGCTAGTAGAAGATTATCACTTCTTAGCCATAGTATAAGATCCACCAGAAGATAAGTGGTCACTGTCCCCATAATCATTGTCAATGGTGTGGCTTAGAGAAGCCACTAGAGTAGACAGTATACTATTGTATAAATAGCATAAGAATTAAATAACAAAGACATGAAATAAATAATATTTAATTCCATAATATTATACACAACAAAACTTGAAGACCACCATCATTATGATATATTTTACCTGTATGTGGGAAGAGACATACACTGAAGTGTCTGCAGGCTCCTTTTACTATCATAATAATGAACTGCAAAATTTTGTGGTCAGTTAATACAAAAAAAAAACACATTTAACATTTAAAATTTCACTGCTATGGCAGCTCCTTTTGCTGCATCACCTCCTGATGTAAATTCTAGAGGTAAATTGTAGAAACGCTCTACAGCCTTCTGTAACACAGGATTTCTGGAAAGGCCAGAACCATTGCCAACGATTCTTTTAATGTTTGCACTTTGTAATATTTCTTTTGGCATCATGCAGTGTAAATTTTCAATAAGTCCATCACAGAGAGATTTGAAGACGGACCCAAGTTGAATGTTAGATAGGTCAATATTTTCAGCCATTGCCTTCATTGTTGGAGCATGCCGTTCGCCAAGTAAAAGAGGATTGATTTTCATGGTTGGTAATTCTTGCGCATCCAAACCCAATGCAATTATTTTTTCCCACACTTTAGACTGTGGTATAGGAAAACCAAATTCAAGCATCCATTGCTGCAACATTTTCACAAAGGTCGCTAGCACGTTACCACCGTTCAAGGATGCAGCAACAACGAGATAAGTGTCATTAATATATGGTAAATGCTCAATAGTATTACTGCTGAAGTTTGAAATTTTATCCACAACGAAAGCTAATTGTGCTGATGTAGAAATATTCAGAACAGCATCTTGTGAATCTTCAAGTGTAGCAATTATTGAACATTGAAGATCACCAAGTGCTACTCCTACTGGGGTACCAGCAGGAATGCCATTCCAAGACATATTTAATTTTCCAGCAATCTCACCACTTTTGGCAACTTTAGGCAAAAGTTCTACAGGGAAATGGATTGACTGTAAAATGTCTCGGTTCCATTCTTTTTTTTCTGTATTAAAATATCCCCAGCTAGCAGCATTTTGGTCAGACATAATTGGTGTGTCTAAGTCACAAATCATTGTTACTATGAAATCTTGCACAGTAGCGGCATACTTAAATTGCTTTAGTTTTTCTGGTTTGTGTTTTAACATCCATAAAAGAGTTGCACATCCATACCCCGAGTAACACTTTAAATGAGAATCTGGTTTTGGCAGTGTCTCTAAAAACTCTGGTTTACATCTTGTATCTTGCCATGTATATAAAGCAGACATATTTTCTCTAGTACCTTCAAAACGTATGACTACACCATCTTTCTCTATTTTTTCCCAAGCCCTGAAACATGCGAAATAAATAATTTTAATACTAGTACACCAGATGTATTTCTAGAACAAATTGCTGTTAAGACCGAAAAGTTCTCTAGTGCTGACAGACAATACGGCTTCTACAAGGTGGACCAATGACCTGGTGGAGGTAGCAATAATCAGGTGGTTAAGGTGCAGGCCATGGATGTCTTTTGACTCTTTATTTGCTGTTCAATAAAAGTATGAAAACACTCACTCGTTTTTCCACAATACAACTCCATGCATTTGTCCACAAATCCCAATCTTTGTGACATGCTTCAACAGATCGCGAGGAAGGCGCGACACACAAAAGTGAACAGCTGATACTATTTTTGGCACATCTTGCTTATTGCCTTCAATTCCCTGGTCACTCGGTATGTTAGCTGCTGTGTCCTTGTTTTGATTAGCAATCACTTCTTTAGTGTGATAATCGTAAATGCATACTTTTACTGAAGTGGTACCAATGTCCATTCCCAGAATGTATTGTTTCATGTTATCAGCCATTGTAAATTAATAAATAAAAAATAATTCAAGTTTAATAGTATAAAAATCCGAGATACGTGTGCACAACTTGGTATCAATCGGTAAATAAGCGAATCACAGAGTGACGGACGCCGCTGTTGTGCACCATGAAGAGAGCAGTGGGTGGATTGTGGGTGATCAGTCTAGTCTGGTCGCAATACGCCTGGCGTATTGGCTTCAAATAAACACACCGCAACTATTATTACGTAAAAAATTCTGTTTGTAGTTCTTATCTCATTGAGTGGCATATGTTTATCAAACACTTTCATTAATCACTAACCTACAACCAATAAATAAGTCGTGTGAATATTACTTTTACGATAACGTTTCTAATTTGCTTCTGTTTTGCACACCAAATGTAAATATCTTCGTTGAAGTAGCCATGTCTGGTTTTTTTTCAGTTGGAATTATTTTCGTACGGTTGGATACTAGCTGCGATTTCTTTGGCAGGGTTTCCATTTTACTAATGTGACAAGCGACATTGGATTTACGATGTCAGATAATTAAAGAATGAGACTATCTCACAGAAGTATCTCATGCTATTTGGCTAATTAAAATATACTGGAAAATTTAGCCACTAACAATAAATATAACTAAGGCTTACCCTCAGATAAACTTTTTAACTATTTATTTTCATAACCTAGTGTCCTTTTTTTAGGTTAGATGAGTGGACGAGCTCACGGCCCACCTGCTGTTAAATGGTTACCGGAGCCCATAGACATCTACAACATATTATAAATACCGCCACCTACCTTGAGATATGAGTTCTAAGGTATCAGTTTTTACAGTACAACTGCTGTACCACCTTTCAAACCGAAACGCGTTACTGCTTCACAGTAGAAATAGGTAGGGTGGTAGTACCTACCCGTGCGGACTCAAGACGTCCAACCACCAGTCATTACGCAAATTAAGGTCTGATACTTGAAAATCAATATGAAACAAATAATGTCGTTAATGTTTTGCGTTCTATAGGTGCGTGCACACGATGTTTCCACATAGCATTTTTATTTCATTAAGTAATGAGCGGTTTCAAAGATTACCTACATTTGATGACGGTTCATTTGTATGAAGACTATTGATTGGAAAAACTGAAATGACGAAACTATTTAAATTAAGTTCAATTTGACTTTCGGCTAATTTTTAAAATCTTGAAACAAACAATAGATAGACTTTTTATAATTTGCGACGAAACAAGCAAATATTTTTCAATTAAATTTAATTTTAGTTCTTAAAATAAATCTCGGTCACGTTGTACATTGAATTTCCTTCTCACGTTTTTTGTTTCACGCGCTACTTATTCGGTATTAAAGGTACTTTGCTTGAACCATACAAATACTACAAGATCTACATAAATTCTTTTTTATACCAATAATATTGACCCTCCTCCGTTTGCGCCAGTTCAATAACCGAACGCGAATGACAACCTCACACGTAATCAAGTACCATTTCCATGCTGCGGATTGTTTAATTACGCCGATACATATTTTGTAAATGAGTTCATTGCCCCATTCTGTTTTAACATTAAATTAACCAATTAGAAGTAAATTGTATTTAAATGAAATCTTTATTTTCATACTACCAATAATTATTATACTATCAAAAATATAATAATGCAAAATTTACACTAAATGCCGAAGTCGCATGCATGTGTATCTGAACGGGCTATGCTCTTCCGGAAGGCCTAAATGTATATGTCTTCAAAATGTTCATAGAATATTAAAGTCTATATTTTCTTGACATTGCACTGTTGCTTACTGCTCATATCTCTGGGTAAACACGTCCAAGTGTCAGCTATTTCCTTTGACTGCACTCCGCAACGACGTTCACACCTATCACTGAGTTCATGTTTCCATACCTACCAACTGGCTCTGAAATGGTGTGTCCTTAGGCGCTATGAGCGATATAATATATCCATTTCAAAACGAAGTTTGATGGGAACCCTCGGCGATATACAGCGGTTTGGTTATTCCGCTAGCATTGCTTTCGTCCACGAGTGACGGTGACCACTTATCATCAAGTGGGCCGTATGTATGGTTTCGAAGTAGATGAAAAAAGGTGTTATTTAATAGTAAAGTGATTATAAAATGATTAATAGTTATATTATTTCGATATCATATTTATTTTAATCTGAATACAATTTTATTTATATTGCAGATCAATATGGGCAACACAGCTAAGCAAACGACAAAAAACAGAAAAAAAAACTTCTGTACTACAAATAATAAAGAAGACACAGGGCACTCTCGAAATAAAATAATAAAAACAATACAAAATAAAAACAAAAGACTAAAAAAAACATTAAATAAGAAAATAAAATTTAATGACAGTGGAGAGGAAGAAGTGGTCGAGAGAAGCAGCCAGACAAATGAAAATAGTCCGTTCACCCCTGAAGAAGAAGCTACTGTGAAAGATGAAGATATTGATCAATTTTGTGACGAATTAAATGAAGAAGACAATGAACAATATGAAAGCTGGGTTAAATTAATCGAAGAGAAATTAGGGGCAAATAAAAAATAAATAAAGTAAATATAATTTATTTAATCTTGTTTGATGATGCATTTTTATTTGACCTGTTGGGAGAATGAGATCACGGCATACCTATCGAAAATTAACAAGGCCAATAGACCATTAAAACTGAAACGTGAGGTCAAAGTCTCCAGTAAATTATATAACGGCTGTTCTACTCTTGAAACCGAAAAGCATGCTTCACAGCAGAAACAGGATGGCTTGTGAAGGATGTGACGTAGCGATCTTAACTCGCGCCCAGGGCACAATACCTTCTTAGCCCTTACACTATGACGTTTCATCTTACACGATGTTGTTACATCATTACTTTTGTACTTCACGCATGGACAAAGACTTTTGCTTTATAAAGCACAAGTCAGGCCTCGCGTGGAGTACTGCTCCGACCTCTGGGCCGGGGCTCCCAAATACCTGCTACGTCCATTTGACTCCAAAAAGTCCATTGAACAAATCTCAGTAAATGACCACCATTTTACTGATATTATATTTCATCCCGTATCATCTCATCTCATTTCATTTAATTTCATCCCAGTTGATTGTTTCAAATTAATCATCTTCATTTCATTTCATTTCACTCCATGGCCGTTTTCCAATTACAGCACAAGAGCGCATTATGCGGCATAATGCTCAACCATGCTTCAGCATAATTCGGCAGTGTGCGTCACTGAGTCGCATTATGCTCTGTAATTGGAAAACTACCATTAAGTAATGGTTAATTACAGAGCATAATGCGACTCAGTGACGCACAATGTCGAATTATGCTGAAGCTTAGTTGAGCATTATGCCGCAAAACGAAAACTACCATTAAGTAATGGTTAATTACACAGCATAATGCGACTCAGTGACGCACAATGCCGAATTATGCTGAAGCTTAGTTGAGCATTATGCCGCATAATGCGCTCTTGTGCTGTAATTGGAAAACGGCCCATATTTATCATTTTTCATATAAATAAAATTAAAATAAGACATGACTTAAAGGTCTTAGTTACCAGGTCCTAAAATCCCTTAAAAAAACTCAACATGACGGTCTTTATATGTTTATTTGTATCACTTCTTCAGAATCATAAGTTAATCGCGTTAATCAATTTAAAGCTGAAGGCTGAAACATGAAGTAGTGGTCCTAAAAATGTCTAATCAAGTAGCTCAATTTGTTTCGGGACTGAAGTCTCGAACGGTTGACATTCAGATAAAGACTGCACGTGAACTTTATCATTATGCGAAGACGGAATTACGAGAGGTACCACAAGAGGAACTCACGCAGTTCCTCGATGAATTCAATCATCAAATATTTGAAATGGTTTCAAGCAATGACGTCCACGAAAAGAAGGGCGGTGTCCTTGCTATTGGTAATTTCATTCTCTTTTAAGATAATTTCAGGAATATATTTAAAATTCTAAGTAATTGTTTATTTCAGTATGCCTAATCGGTGGCGATTGCGACACAACAAAAACTCGTATAACGAGATTTGCCAACTATCTTCGCAATCTTCTACCATCTTCTGATGTGGGAGTGATGGAACTAGCTGCTAAAACTGTCGGTCGTCTTGCTACTGTGTCAGGTATTAAGAGGGCAGAGTACGTAGAATTCGAAGTTAAAAGAGCATTTGAGTGGTTGTCCGAAGAACGCAATGAAGGAAGACGCCACTCAGCAGTCTTACTTCTTAAAGAACTAGCCATAGCAATGCCAACATATTTTTATCAGCAAGTTTCAGGTTTCTTTGATCACATTCTAATAGCACTCAAAGATCCAAAGCAGCAAATCCGTGAAGCTGCAGCCAAGGCTCTGAGAGCTGGCTTGGTGGTGACTTCGCAGAGAGAAACAGCAAAGCAATCAACAGCAAAACTTCAGTGGTACATGCAGTGCTACGAAGAAGCAATGTTTTCTTTTGAAGACATACCATTAAAAGAAAAGAGCATGACTAAAGAGGATAGAGTGCATGGAGGATTATTAATATTGAATGAACTCTTAAGATGTTCAAATTCTGTTTGGGAAAAGAAGTACACACAGTTCATACACAACTTTGACACACAAAAAGACTTGACAGTCTCTGATGATATCATTTTTATAAGCGCTAAGTTGCACAGTCCTTCAGTCAAACGTGGATACTTGTGTGACGGTTTTAAAACTGAGAATGTTCAATATCCTGTGCCTATCTATGAATCAGCAGTATGTCGTAAACTACTTACTGAAAAGTTTGAGAAGATTTGTCAAGGTAACATTAGTGTTAAATGTTAAAATTTTCATCAATGAATAAGTTCTAGTTATGAAAGTAATGCTTTTCTTTGCAAAAATAATTTTGAAAATTATAACATAAAAAAAATTATTGTTAGCTTAAAGAGATTTATGTAATAAAACTATTGTAGTATTATTACTATACCATATAATGCGATTAATATCTTTCAGATGTTATGGCTCAACGGGTATTGAAGATACAAGGGATACCACAAATATTACTTATAATAATTCCAAGATTGGCAGCTTTCAATAAAGAGTTTTTTCTAAAAAAATATTTTAGTACAACAATGCACTACTTGATCACATGTCTTCGTAGTAGAGAAAAAGACAAAAATGTTGCTTTTACAACAATAGGTTTGATGGCGGCTGCTCTAGAGAATGATATAAAGAATTATATTCCAAGAATCATGGAGGTTATAAAACAAGCTTTGCCTGTAAGAGATAC